TTTATATATATATATATATATGTGTCCGTTAGCACGATAACTCGAGCAAAAATGATCCGATTTTGATGAAATTTGGTACAAACGTGTAAACCTACGTTTATTCGAACGAGTTCGCAATCCAGCATGATCGGACCATGGGAACGGGGGTTTACGGGGGGTTTTATGGGGTAAAAATAGGTTTTTCCTATTTTTTACCCAAAAAACATAAAATTTAGCAATTTCTTTTCAAACCATTTTGTAGAGCTTAAAAAAACAAATAATTTAGTATATTGAAGCGTTATTATGCGCCTAATGGTTACGGAGAAAATTCCAAAAAATTGTAAATTTAAAATTCCAATGTTATTCTTATGGAGAATAAGTAAACTGTTGTAGTTTGCTTGTTTATGAACATATTTTGATCAAATTTGAAAAATATTTTTATTTCTTACTAACTATTAACATTTTACAAAAAAAGAACAGTTTTGCCCTCCCTGATGCAGCAAACCTAAGTACTTGTTAAACTAATTCTATTTAAATAGGGAATAAATGTTATATTTTTAAGTAGACATTTCAGTGTAAATCCAATCAGTCAAATGGAAATTCGCTTAGTCTGCAGGTTTGCTGCAGCGGGGGTATTTTTTTTTAGAAACATAAGGTACATGTATTATATATCATTCTTTTCCTAATGGAATTCTTCACAATTTGTATATTTTGAAAAATTTTCTTGAGTTCATTGATTTTTGTTAGGCCTAAACTTATATTACGGAATTATATATGCATATAAATAAAAAAAGTTTGGTAATTATTTAGATGAGGGTGACCAAGCGTTCTATAGTAAGTTATATATCATTAGAAACTAGATTTTTACCTGAAAATAATGGTGCAAAAATTTTTCTGCTGTCACAAAAACTGAATTTACTACGATTTTTTGAAGTTTTCTTTAATGTTTTATTAGGAACATTGAATCTGCACTACTTACAATGTTTACACTGTAAAATCGAAGTTAATAGCACAATTCACATTTTATTGATTGATTATATGCCATTTTAATGTAAATATTACCCTCACAACCCACACTTAGAGAGGTACGGTAATTATGTTAATTTAAGTAGGCTATAACTTATGTATTAGGTATTTGATTAAAATTAATTTAACATTAATAAACACCTCTAGTTCGGACATATTTAATCTGGATCTGGGGACTGGATTATGAAAATTGAAGAAGGAATTCATTTAGTTCTTCTCTTTACTTAACCGAATAGCTTAGCTTAGGTTTTGACCATGTAACCGTTATGTCCCATGAGGATAATAGTGTAGTGGCAGTTTTAATAAAATGAATAAACAACAAATTGACACTATTCTAACCTAACCTAGCCTAACCAAACTTCTCGTACAGTTTAAAATTCGTTTATAAGTTGAAAAAGACATGTGAGGTTGGTAGGTTGGATGTTATGTGGACTCGTGACTGTATTAAGTCCTTTGAAGGTAGGTTAGATTAGGGAAGTTAAAGTTTAGGTTATAATGAATCGAGTTGTTGATTTATATTATCCCCAGACTGTTTATGCACTCTGTAAAAAGTACTACAAACACAATAAATAATAATTTCAAAAATGTGCAGCATTTTTTAAATTATTATTTATTGTGATTGTAGTACTTTTAACAAAGTGCACAAACAGTCTGGAGATAATATAAATCAACAACTCGATTCACTATAACCTAAACTTTACCTTCCTAATCTAACCTAACTTCAAAACACTTAATACAGTCACGAGTCCGCATAACACCCAACCTACCCACCTCACATGTCTAAATAAGAACTGAAGTAGTTCATAATCAACGCTCAGTTGAATTTATAAATGCCTCTACCTCTTTGTCCTCTTTATAAACTTACTTACTCTTTGTCATATTAGGTTTCTTCTTCTTCCCTATACGATCCTTTCAATTGTTCATGTTTGTGTGTTGGTCAGTCAATTCACAGTAAAGCTATGGCGACAGAGACCAGCCGACAAGAGGCATTACAGTAATAAACTTCAAAAAATCGTAGTAAATTCAGTTTTTGTGGCAGCAGAAAAATTTTTGCACCATTATTTTCAGGTAAAAATCTAGTTTCCAATGATATCTTACTATAGAACGCTTGGTCACCCCCATCTAAATAATTTCCTGCTCGGTAAATATACTAAAAAATCTTTTTTGTAAATTAAAATTTCATATCTAAAATATATATAATACCTAGGGTATTATTCCTTGTTTTTTGCTGAAAAAAATGATATATAATATAGTGTGTTTTCTGGGTTATTTAGGCTATATGTTTTTTCAGGTGTTTTAAAAAATGGTTGCGCGGTGCCTAAAAAACCCTTGCCACTACAGAGTAAAATGACTGCCAGCTATAGGGTTAATAAGGCCAGGGCAGTCCTAAGGTTAAGTTACTTAGGCTTATAAGGTAAAGGCCCAAGCTAGCCAAATTTTGTTGATAGCCTAGAAACTAGGACGAAGGTAATAAACTACAATAATAGCCTAGCCTAGGCTTACTTCAAGGTTGGCCCTGGGCTAGATTAACCCATGAAAAATGTCATGGGACAGGCCTACATGAGTTACGTTAGTAATGATGGAGTTAGTATGAGTTAGCCCAATTTTGTCCAAAATGGCGGCAAGTGAGGAAGCGGAGCTAAGGTAATCAATGTTTAGTATTTAAAACATCAATGAATAACAACTTCATTGGTGGGTACGGGTATAAGCCATTTTCGACTACTCTAAGGAATGATGAGCTCAAGGGAAAGGCAATGATATAAAGGTGAAAACTTGAAAATGCATGAAGAAATAATTGCGACTCTACAGAAATAAAATAAGTATTGGAATCTTCCTTACCACCGGCACGGCGAGTGTTGTAAGACATCTTTGAACTTATGTAGATTGCAGTCACTCCCCACTAATAAAAATAATACGCACTAAATAAAATTAAATACTTAATAACTTAACTCTTCTTAATAACAAATTATAAACACCGTTAAGTATAAAGTTAAAAAGACGAACGGTTTGGTTTGGCAATTACGATTAGTTTTGGAAGCTTCACTTCGCTTCGCACTCACCCACTCCACTGCACTACTCACTTCACTGCTTCAGCTTCACTCGCTCAGCTCAGTCGCTCCCGCTCACTACTCACTGGTATTTACTCAAGGGAGGTACAGAAGAGCCTTCGATGACGTCAGCTGTCAGATCTCTTCAGGGAACACCATTTGCCGCAAGCTAAATTTTTATTTCAGGATCAATTTTGCCAACAGTGTCATTTGTAGGCTTCTGATTGGCTGAGGGAACACCTTTACCGGAACGATACACATTAAGGTCGATTCACACATATCAGTTCAGTCACAGTTCCGTTACAGTACAGTTACAGTCCAGTCTCAGTTGCATCCGCAATTTCTCAGTCAATTTTCCGTCTGTTGGTTTCAGTCAGTCTTCCGTCTCTGAAATTTACAGTAATTTACAGTGAAAATGTTTAAGTTATAAACCTATATTCTATCAAATTATCATTGTCCATCTTGTTAATTGTTACAAACAGTATTCAAAATGTAAACACAACCATTTAAATAACAATAACACTATTTTCTAACCTCTAACAGTTCCGTCAGGCGTCCGAACAATCAAAAAGTATCGTTGGAAAGAAATCTGAAATTGACTGACGGATGCCAGCAGAGTGACTGACGGAACTGCAACGGATGAGTGTAGATAGCGCTATAGAAAATCCATTAAAGAATATTTTTGTTAACTGTGACGTGCCTGAAGTGACTGGACTGTGACGTTCCGTAACTGATGTGTGTGAATCGACCTTTACCGTCATCGGCCTCGGTGACATAGTGGATACAGTCATTGACTATAGTCAATGATACAGTGCTGGACTGATACACGGAGGGCCGGGTTCGTATCCTTCCGATAGCACTAACTTTTTGTCTAGGATTTTTTCATTATCAGTAAGTTTGGTTGGTTTGGTTATGACATTTTAATTTTATAACTAAAACATTATAAAATTGAATTTGAGCGATTTATAATTTTATTTAATGAACAGAACTAATTTTTCAGTTAGTAAACCTTCATTATAGCACGGCCGCCTTTAACTACAGGCCGCGGCCTTCGAACTGGCAACGTTGCAAGTGGTGATGTAACAGCTGTTTTTGTTTGGAAGCAGCTAATGGTATTTGTGTATTTACGAAAGATTGGTTACTGGACTATGACAATATTGACTCTGCTTAAAAATTTACAGATATAGATTTTAATTCATATTGTTTCGGCTTTCAATTCTGTGGGTTTTATTTTCAATGTTTTAATAAATTTATGTTCATAAATTTAAATTTAAACCAATATTGCGAATTAATGAGCTGATGTCACCTGTCTGCCATGTTATCTTATGGGACGTCTCGACGTCTGTCGCTGAACAACACCACTTGCGGCGTTGCCAATTCTACCAGGTCGCGGCCTGTAGTTAAAGGCGGCCGTGATTATAGTCAATCAGAAGCCTCCAAATGACACTGTTGGCAAAATTAATCCTGAAAAACAAATCGTGCTTACCGCAACGATACGGAGGTCAGGCATCGGCCTCGGTGGTGTAGTCGATAGCGTGTCGGGTTGATAATCCAAAAGTTCCGGGTTCAAAACCCGCTGTCAGCACTAGCTTTTTGTCAACAATTTTTTTCATATCAGTAAGTTTGGTTGGTTTGGTTAGGTTATGACAGTTTAATTTTATAATTAAAAAATTGAATTTTAGGCATTTATAATTTTATTTTATGAACAAAACTATTTTTTAGATTAGTCAATCAATCAATCAATCTTTATTTGCCATAAGGATACATTTACATATCATTGACAAAGTCTATAAACCTTCAAAGTAAACCTTCATTCGATTTTATCATTAACGTTTGGTTAGGTTATGACAGTTTAATTTAATAATTGAAAAATTTTAAGATTAATTTTATAATATTTCTTAATTTTATAATTAACTAAGCCTAATAGTGAAGTAAAACTTACGAGCAGTGCTCTCCACTACAACGCTGTTAACGGAGGAATTTTGAACTAAACTATGTCATCGTTGCCTCATATGTACCTCCCTTAAGTCAGACCCCTACTCACTCCACTGGCACCAGCACCCACCCCATTGATATACGGGTCGCCGGAATTTTATCCCCCTGGAATTTTACCCCCTGGGCAAAGCTGACGTCACTATGACGTAGTAACCTGAGTGGCCAAAAGTTTGTTCGCGGCCGTAATTTTACCCCCGCGGATTTGGAAGTCTAATGAAAATAGTCAGAGCGTGATTAATTAGATTAGCGATAAAAACCGGAATTTTACCCCCTGTCCATATAACTAGCGTTTAGGCAACTGAAGATGTACGGGCCGGATTTTTACCCCCCAGAATTTTACCCCCGGAATTTTACCCCCCGGAATTTTACCCCCTGGCTGATTTTAGAAATTGAATGATTGATTTTCTTATTTCTTTTTTTAATTAATTGTAAACATTTCATTATTTAGTAGCCTATCTTTATTTATTTATTTTGTAATCTCAACTAAGTAAACAGAATTCACTGTTTTATTTTGATCATATTAACCAACAGTTGGCTTCAAATATCGAATCTTGACACTCGAATCTCAAAATTAATATTAAAACCCTGTTCGATTAGTTAATGTTACATATAAATATCTGGTCAGGGGGTAAAATTCCGGGAGGTAAAATTCCGGGGGGTATAATTCCGGGGGTAAAATTCAGGGGGTAAAAATCCGGGGGGTAAAATTCCGGGGGTAAAATTCCGGGGGGTAAAAATCCGGGCCGTACATTCTAGGTTTTTATAATTTGATGTGTTCTGATTAAACTCACAACCGTGAAAATATATGTTTAATTCCGCGTTTAATCCATCGAGCTGATGTCGCGAAACTCAAAAGTTCACGGCCGGAATTTTACCCCCTGGTTTGTGACGTCACGTTTGCCCAGGGGGTAAAATTCCAGGGGGATAAAAATCCGCTACCCCTGATATACCTGGTGAGCACGTTTTCACCTCAAATTAGTTGACGAATATCGAAACTGGAAAATCGATACTTTTACCGCTCGATTTTTTTAGAGAAATCGAATCGGAATCCGAGTAAATTTTATTGGTTTGACTGAGATGAGACTGACTTAAAGCACGATTACAAGAAGAATACCGGTATGGATCATAAACATTAAAAAATGACATTTTTGGCCCGAAAATAAACATGATTTTTATAATTATTGCTTAAATTGAACTAAAAGAGACCCCTTGAGCTGAATAAATTGATACTAAATAAGTTACTGTTACATTCAATTCAATACTCTCTTGAGTACTATCATTGACTATAGTAGTCTGGAGTACTATAATCATATCGACCTCCAGACAAAAAATAAGATTAATGAAGGAATCAGGAATAAAATTTCTAAGAACTATGAGCAAGGTCATAATTTTTAAATTTTTAATTCATCATTAAGCTTTAAAATTATTAGTCTTAAGGAGGCATTTTGGCAATTTTTACAAGAGCTGGGTTGATACTAACAATAATAATACAAATTAGGTAATAGAAATGGCATCCATCTGATGATATTCAGTTTTGATTAAAACAAATTCTGAACAATGAACATAACCTTAGCAATAAGCTTTTCAACTACTGACATTGAATTTTATTCTCACTATACTATCTACTGATAAATAGAAACAGAAGAAGAATTTGTTTGTAAGGTATTACCAAATTTATGTATTCTCTTAAAAAATTGACATTACGTCCCTAGGCGCTATACAGTTTTATGTTCTCTCCTAATGATCTACCATTATTAAATTCGAACTGTCAAGTCACAAGTCAAAGGAGAACGGGAATGGATGGAGTGGGAGTGGACTATCGATATCGCTATGTGCTAAATTCTAAAAACAATCGAGCTTTAAAAGTATCGATTTTCCTGTTTCGATATTCGTCAACTAATTTGAGGTGAAAAAGTGCTCACCGATATACCTAATCACAGAGCTTCGAAACTAAACGAAGAATCGAAACACTCGAAACAAAACATCGAAAAATACCCCCGCTGCAGCCAACCTGCCGAATAACTTAAGCGGATTTAAATTTGCCTGGGATTGATTTTTAACAAGTCTATTAAATTAACATTTTTAAACGAGTACCTAGGTTTGCAGCAACAGGGAAATTAATAAAGTGTTTTTTTAGCGAATTTCCCATGTAGGAAATAAGCTATTACCGTAGTACTCATGGTAGAACCTGGACCCGGGACCGATTTACTTTTTCGTTTTGAGGTCCCTAGAGACCAAAAACACCATCCATTCAAATTCATATATATATCGAATATATATATATAAATCGAACGATTTCGCGATCCAGCGTGATCGAGCTATGGGAACTGGGTTTTATGGGGTAAAAATAGGTTTTTCCCATTTTGACCCTAAAAACACAAAATTTCACAATTTCTTTTCAAACCATTTTGTAGAGCTTAAAAAAACAAATTATTTAGTATATTGAAGCGTTATTGTGCGCCTTATGGTTACGGAGAAAATTTAAAAAAATTGTGAATTTAAAATTCCCATGTTATTCTTATGGAGAATAAGTCAACTGTTGTATTTTGCTTGTTTATGAACATATTTTGATCGAATTTGGAAAATAAATCCATTTCTTACAAAACCATTAACATTTTACAAAATAACACTTTTTTACCCTATTGCAGCAAACCTAAGTACTCTTTATATTAATTATATTTAAATAGGGAATAAATGTGATATTTTTAAGGAGGCATTTTAGAGTAAATCCAATCAATCTAATGGAAAATCTATTTTTTTACCTCATTAAGAGGAATATGAAAGTGTTTAAAAACGGAGAATAGCATATTTTTTTAAAATTCAATATATTAAAATTTATTGTATTTACTCCAAAATTTACTCATTAATGAGCCAGAGATTTTTCGTGGGCAAAAACAAGTACAAATAATGCATTACTATTATACGAAACTGTGGCTTAAACGTACCAAAAAAATGTATTTTCACACCACTGTAAACTTAAAAATAAACAAATTAAGTTTTAAGATAATCGAACTGGCATCCTGAATGTTTTAGAAAAAGAGTGTATCCGCGATGTTGTTGGACAGGGTGTGAGGTAGACTGATTTTCGGTGTAACCACACCCCTAAAAACCCGGTTCTGAGCCACTCTAACCACCTACCCCTCAGGCTTCACCAAGAAACGCACGAGCTCTATATCCACCTATCCACTAATGTGACGTCATGGATCCTGCAGCATGGCCTGTTTTTCTAGTGGGGCCTAAGTCTAAATTAGCCGATTACATGTTAATTTATTGAGCACTTATTGTAAAGATATTATCTCGGAGATAGGTAGTATTTTATACCAATAAACAAGATAATTTAAATTCATAAAACGAGTTTTACTGCAATGTCAAACTTACAAATAATACAAAGATGATTACAAGTTTTTAAGCTTTTCCTTTTTGTTTGGGTGATTTCTGTCCTTTTTTCTTCAGTTTCTTGACATTGTTCTTGATTTTTTCAATATCTATATTTGTTGAATCCTTGGCTTTCCCCGATTTTGAGGGTAATTTGAGTTTAGATTCATCTGGTGGTTCAAATGCCTTGTTCCTTCTTTCTTGTCGGGCCTTGTTTGCTTCTTGCTGTTTCTTCTCCTTTATTTCATTCTTTCTTTTTCGCCTTTGATCTTCCTTCAGGAAATATTCGCCTGATGCTAACAATTTGTCTACTTTGCTTTCTGGTTGAGACGGCGGGAATGGTGTGTAGGGTTTCTTATTCTTTTTGTTTTTGGGTTGTTTTCTTTTGCTGATGTTCTTGTTGGCGAATTTTGGCAAAAACCTCTCCCAGTTTTCATTACAAAGTTTAGGATCTTTAGCGAGTTCTCTTTGAATCATGAGCCGTTTGATGTTGTAGATAGGATGAATGTTATTCATGGTATCAGTCACTATTTTTCTCACCTGGAAAAGACAAATTTGTGAAAAAACTATTGTTATTAAAAAGTTATTCTCACAGTCACATTATAACAACCAAAGAACTGAATTTAGCTTTTTTTTTGCTACAGTAAGTAGCTGGTTTCTGTATATACCCTTTTATAGACCTGAAAGTCGTTGTTTACAGAAAGTGACCAATACGCTGGAGTGCAGTAAATTTACGGAAAGTAAATAAAGAAACGTCTTATAACACTTAAAACATATATTTACACTTTTACTGTTACTCACAAGACGGTAAATATACAAAAAAGGTGTTAAGTGGCAGTCGATTTCGATTGGACACTCCAATCATCATCAGACCCAATAGGCGAATAACAAGAATCTTGAATGGCGTCCCTACTTATACCCTATTGGCTACCAAAAGCACCGGCCAATACATAGGGACGCCATTCAAGATTCTTGTCATTCGCCTATTGGTTCTGATGATGATTGGAATGTCCAATCGAAATCGATCACCGCTTACCACCTTTTATGTATATTTACTGTCTTGTGAGTAACAGTATAAGCGTAAATATATGTTTTAAGTGTTTTAAGACGTTTCTTTATTTACTTTCCATAAATTTAATAACACCTATGATGCTGATCAAGAAGTTATGCAGTAAATTTACCGTTCAGTTTTGCAATAGGCTTTAAAAAAAGTGTTGTCTCCACTACAAAATAAACTAATTCACCGCAACAATATTGTCGACAAAGCTAACCTCCTTGTAACAGCCTCGTCCACCGCAACGATATTAATATTTGTTAGTATTAATCACTTTGATTGAAAACCGCTGTTGTGTTGAGTGTAGAGTGCTTTGATCATTCACGAATATATTTACTACAGAAGATGCATTATAATTGTAAAATTCCTAAATCATAGTCGAGACAAAACACCTCAAATCTGCTGCCTGATCAAATTAAAAAAAGACTAGTTAACCACCCATGCTCTGCCACGGGAATATTGTCAGCTATAAAAGACATAATAATTAACAAATACTGTTTATCTTTGTATTTTATTTGGGGGCTGCTTAATTTTTTACATGAAATAGAACTGATAGTTTGCCTGTATAAACAATTTGTTGTTAATCAAACCGATATATTAGTTTAACCAAATATAAATGTTTTATATTAATTTGAGTTTCATTTTAAAAAGAAATAGTATACAAACTGTGCAATACTGATAACCTAATAAGCACCTACTTATGCTATGGAGATAATGTTCAAGTATATTCCTATATTCGTTGTTTTTTTTCATTACATTTGTTTTATGGAATAAAGATTTCACTTACATGTAAATCACGCATCAGCAGTCGGTCGCATTTCACGAATCTTTGACCCATACTGTAAGTTACAGCTGTGTTTACGTCGTATATATAAAGTTGGGTATACTTAGTTCAATGTTAGAGGGTATTATCAGTCCAATTTCTTAAAATTATATAGACTACCACTACCAAAAAGATGTTGATTCAAGTGAGACTTAGAACTCGCCATTTCAAATGCAGATTTGTATGATATTATATTATTCGAATAGTTTTTTTGTTTCTTTTGACCCTTAATACTTTATTTATGGTCACTGTAGCCCCATTGATAAGATTTTTTATAAACTCAAAATGTTGATAAGGAGCTCATTTTACCTTCCCCTTGTGACAACATAAGGAGAATATATTTGTGTCCCTGTTAGCCTGTTCTGACTCGAAATTCACATATTTGCAGTAGTGGCAAATCCAATTTAACGACCTCAATTCAAAAAAGTCTGTGTTTTTTTGTAGGGACTTCCAGAGCACATTTATCACCATCACTGCTCTTTACCTTTTTAGTTCGATGGTTCTCTACGTGTTTTTTCGTTCTGTATGTCTCTTTACGCCCGGTTAATGTTGCCTTTTCTTTTTCTTTTTGTACTTTTCACACCTTGGGGTTAATGATAAAGTTTTATAACGCTATACTGACCCGAGTCAACATTTCCGTTAAACATCAAGTCACATACTTCTTCGCCAGAACCGAAATCGTAAGTCACAGTTTCTCAAGCAACTTCCCTGTGTACTTGAAAAAATAGTTAGGGTATAGTCCAATGATAAATTGTAGTTACACGTATCCCAACGTACTCGCCATCTCGAGAAGGTAAAATTTGGTACTGCTGAACGTCAAACACTGATCTTGAGTAAGATTAATCACTTACGATAAAATGTTTGTATGTTTCCGACTCATTAGCAATTATCTGTACAACTTGCAAGAGATTTCCCTGTGATTGTTCTGGTGGCTATATAAAATTGTGATGATGTGGAGTAGTAAGAGTGTAAATGAAGATACCTGGGCCCTATATATCTTCCTCTAACCACTACCTAATCACGCACATTTCCTGTCCTAACCCAACTCTATTGCAAGGAATTTATCTAACTCGTCAAAGTGCACAATATTACCTTAGCTGCCTATCACAGCCAGCTTTTATGTTTTTTAATGTATCTAATTATAATATACTGAACAGAGAAATTATTATATATATCTGGACTTATTCTAATTCGTGAGAAAGGTAACTAGATGTAGCAAATGTGAGTTCTAAATTTGTAATATTGATTGCCAGACCACGACCATTCGAGAACCTAATAAATCACATAATTTAATTACTATTTACCCTAACCTACACCCTTCCCCAACCCCTACGAAACTATCTAGACATATTCTTAATTTAAGTACTTATCCGGACTAAGAAGTGCTGTTGGCGGAGACGGAGACACTACTACGACTCTGGTAGATCGCCGCGCACGCTTGCCGGACCGACTGCGCGCGCATCGTCGTCACGTGACTTGCGCTATTGTAGCGATTCGCTACAAAATAAATTATATTGATAAAAAAAATAAGTTTCCGTCCCCTACTATGGGTATTATTTCACATTCCATACTCAAACTTAAACTCAATTACCATTTTCCTTCAGATCACATCGCAGGAAAACTTAAACATTAAAAAAATACAAAATTTACACCAAAACATACAAATGATGTTCAAATACATTTATAAATTGTGGTATAAAAAGTTAACAAATACACTTTTCCTTGATCAAAATTGTGGTTTTATAAAAAGAAACTCCTAGATTAATACATACATACATACTGAAAGTGAGGTTATACAAATAATAACAAATGTCTGACGAACATTAAACAGCTGAGGAATAATTTATAAACTGTGTATTATATTCTTCAATACTAATTGTATTGACTCAACCTTTGAAGGGCTGTAGGTTGTAGCCCTTAGAAAAAACGTAAATTCTAAGGAAGTTCGGCAAATCTGCGGATTATCCCCTTTAATTTGAGACATAAATCTTGCAGATCGGTCCAGTAATTACTGAGAAAACAGTGTTACAACTGTGTATTAAATATATAGATAGGGGATGAGATAGAGTATTCCATGTTTTCAAAGTGGCAAAATAATGATGATGTTGTAAACACGTCTGAATTAGCAAAAACCTGATGTGAAAACATGTTGCTGGTAGTATAGCAAAAAATATTGTACGCAAACAATCCGGGAAGGCGTTAACGGTACTCATGACATACTGCACTTGGCAAGCCTTGCACAGGAACTGTTATACTGGTATCGTAAAAAGGTGTAAGCAGGAAGAAGGTACTGCCTGGTGTAAGGGTGAAAACAGTGGAGCGGCGAGGCTAGATTGTAGTGGAGAGCGTAGATGAGTGTTTTTTACCCCTGATGGTAGCAGCGCTGCACATGCACATAGTGCAGTGGCGACAGTAGCGAGTCGAGGATTTCAGTACTTTCGAATACCGTACCGTACCCACACTTTAACCTTATTTAGCCCTATCTGTCATGAGAGAAAAGTGTACTGATTTTGTAAATAAATTTATGAATGGTGAAAATAGTAAAACACAGCAAAGCAATACTTTTTTGAACTACTTAAGTACACTTGTTTTTTGCCCAAAACGTAAAATAAATAACTTCTTTAAATTATCGAGGTTTTAAATAAAATGGCCATTATTGTTTTGGAACAAAATACCCTCGCCGCAGCAAAGCTGCCGACTAAGCGAATTTCCATTTGTCTGAATTGATTTTCAATTAAATCTATTTAATTAACATTAGGTTTAACGAGTAACTAGGTTTGCTGCTACAAGGGAACTAATAAAGTTTGTTTTGTAGTAATGTATTATTAGCTTAGTTAAATAAATAAATTTGCCAAGTTTGGTCAAAATATCTATATATTAATAGGCAAGCATGTTTCTTTAAAACCTTTATTCTCAGCTCAAGTGCATCGCAGGGAAAATCTACGCATACTGTTAGAAAGATATTTTCCTGTGCCTTAAAAAACTAAAATAGGCACAAATATAATCACATGAAAAGGAATTTGACGCGCTTTCGTCGTCTTCCTGAGAGACAACAGAAATAACCCTGAGCGCAGGGCTGCCACTATCACAAGCTACATTTTTTCCTCTTCAAAATGACATATTATATGACTAGTAATAATAACTTACACTATATGTAATTTGTATTTTCCGTACGATCGTCCAGCGACTGTTGGCCATTTGTTATAAATTTCGAAAACAGCTGTTTTCATAAAATCGTACCGGTTGTCCAATCAATATTTTGTTCTAAATATCACTACTACAATGAAGATAAAATCAATGGCTATCCAGTGGTACCACGTCCGCAACATCCCAAGACGAAAATTACCCGAGCAGGGTAATACCATAGATAAAACATACCCCCTTAGTAGATTTCTCATCCTTATGGAACAGCTGAAGACAATTTTATTGTTAGTTCATGTACGGTTTATGTAGAGGTCGTGTTTTGTTTACAATTTGTTTCCCGTTATTACAGCCATTTAAAACCTCGTTTAACCAAATAATACGATCTAATCATAAACAATAACTTGTCCCCAAGTTATATAACCAAACAGTAAAGCACAAATCAAGAAATTAACCCTAAAATAACGGAAACAATGTTTCATCGACACTAGCGCCTTTGTGTCACGTACATGAACTAGACACGAAAAACGTGCTTCAAAATTTACAATGGGATGAGAAGTCTACTTGTGTTGGTTAGTCTATGGTAATACCAAACAAGTCGTGTTTTTCCAGTTCCCAAGTGTCGGCTGCAAAAGTCGTGCCGCGCCGAAAATTCATTTGATTTCTAATCGTCGTGACATTGTTATATACCTCCTACTGGGTTTATGTAATCAAATGAAAGTTCAGAATTCGATCTTTCGAATGGTAGGCCTATATAATATTGTTCTCAATCTCATCTGAGTGGATTATCAGTGTTTTGTTTACCGTTAAAATTGTTTCGGCCCATACCATAGCCTTAAGATTGTGGCCATTTTAAGCATCAACGGCGAAAAATCGTCCCGCAATCGTTGGCCACTGCTAGGATTAATGAAATGTAAACAAAACAATTAATAAAAACAAAAACTAAAGATAAAAAAGAAAAGCTTTAACATCATATTTTTGTTACCGTTTTTATCTATATCAAATGGAATAATGAAATTCAATACGATAATAATATCTAACCGATATTTATCGTAAGTCATCCCATACAATATCGTTGGTTCTCTACGGAACTGTACCCAATGAATGAACTGTGTTTTTGGCCTTAGATTTCCAATATTTTAGAGGTGCTTGGCGTTGTACAAGATAATATCAAAATTGCTGCCAAATTCAGAAAAGGTAAGGAAAGGAATGTACAGTACCAATAACACCACATAGGCTCACCAAGTCAACAGTTTGGCTTTCATCTCAATAACATTCATTTCATATTATCTAATCTTACGTAACTCAGGGCTGGTAAGTTAGCTTAATATATTTTTTATTTAAGTTTATTATTCAAAAAAGGAAACACCACAGATCCATCATGCTATCGCCCAATATCTCTTTTACCGGTTTTTTTCAAAAATTTTTGAACGAGTTGTTTATATTCAGCTCTTTAATTACCTTGAAACGAATCAAGTGTTTGATAAGGAGTAACATGGGTTTAGACCAGGAAAATCTACAATAACAGCTGGTATAGATTTTATTGAATCAATTATAAATTCAGTAGATAATGGTGATAAAGTAGTTGGAATATTTTTAGACCTTAGTAGAGCTTTTGACAGCGTTTCACATTGTAAACTATTAAATATTTTAAATGAATTAGGAATAATAGGAAAAGAATTACGGTGGTTCACTTCATATTTAGAAAACAGAGAACAGTTTGTTGAAGTGGACTACGTAATAGAGAAAAGAAATACTAAATATATTGAAAACTTTAGATCTCAGCGGCAGACACTACGATATGGAGTACCCCAGGGATCGATCTTGGGGCCTCTTTTGTTCCTCTGTTACATTAAGGGGTTACCAGAGATGACCCCGGTCAGTGATGGATCTATGTGTCTGTACATGCTGATGACTCTAATGTTCTGTTTTCAGGAAAATCCAATTTAATTATTGAAAAATCCTTAAACAGAAGTCTTCTCTCTATAAAAAAGTTTTTGGATGAAAGAAATCTGCTTATCAGCACAAAAAAATCAAATCTAATATCCTTTTCAACTAAACAATAACAACATTTGAACCTAATATTTTTATAAAAACAGACAAAATTGATCAGGTAAACCAAACAAAGTTTCTGGGACTGGTTATTGATGAAAATCTATCTTGGGATAATCACATAAACTATGTAGTAAATAAATTATCATCTGGCATTCATGCCTTGCGGCTGATGTCCAAGGTTTGCAACTTGGAAACTCTTAGGATAATCTATTATTCTCCAATTCATTCCCACATATCCTCTGGAATCACCATTTACGGAGCAACAACTAAGGCAAATTTGGATAAAATACTTATAAAACAAGAAAAAGCTATTAGAGTGATCATGAAATTAAAAATAACAGATTCAGTTAAAAATATCTTTCCTGAATTGGGTGTATTAACAGTTTACAGTTTGTATATTTATGAGACAATAATTTATGCAAAACAATTTCATTTATTATCCACTGCAAGTAAATATAACACACGCTTTCAAATTAACCTTCCTAGATATAATTTAGAATTCTATACCAAAAAACCTTCATATGCAGGCTTAAAATTTCTTCAAAAATTACCGATTTCACTTAAAAAAGAAAATAATACAAACAGATTCAAAAGCCTACTAAAAGACTTGTTGATAAGAAACCCATTTTACTCCATCAGAGAATTTTTAAATTGTAATCTCAAAACGACCATTTGAATTCCAGATACTGTACTACCTAGTTTTACTCTGACGTAACCTTCTAAGATTTTGTGATTTTTTAAAGTTATAGCACTCATTTTTTTTTAGTTTTACTATATAAATCCTTTGTGAATGATTTTAATTATTTAATTTACCTAGTTTATAATTTTTTGTTTATGTTAGTTTAATGACACTATTCAAGACATATTGTCTAAACTTTGTGAATAAAGAATATTTGATTGATTGATTGATAGAACGCAGAGGATACGCGTTCGGTAACCAGACGTGGATTAGGCGTCCGGCCATAACAGTCATACTGTCATAATCTAACCTAACCAACCAAACTTGCTGATTATCCTCTGCGTTCTAATAATGAAAAAAATCGAATGAAGGTTTCATTCTGTTCATAAAATAAAATTATTAATGCCAAAAAATCTAACAGAAGATGTACAGTTAAGAAGAAATGGCATTCAAAGCTAAATCTTTGACAAAAAGTTTTAAAAGGATACCGATATGGATTCGAAACAGGGACCTCTCGCATATCAGCCAGACACACTAACCACCACACCACGAACACTGATGGCTGTACATCGTATCATTGTGATAATGGCATTCCGGGCCCCCACAACCCGGTAAAGTCACTGCCGGGCGCCTAAGTTAATCCACGTCTGGTTACCGGACGTGTATCCTCTGTGAGCTTAGAATAATTAGGCCTACCCTTCAAAATAATATTAGACTTAGCCTACTAGAAAATACTTACATGAACCAGCCCTTTGTACGGACCAAGAGCTGCCACAGTCTGCCCCTGAACTTGAATGTAACAATTGGTCAACAATTCAATTGATTTTAGAGTGCATCCTGCTGGACCAATTATGCGTTGTCTTCTTTTAACAAACTTTTCTTTATTCCTTACCATTCCTCCAATTTTTATTATATCTGCGCCAAACTCATCCTGAAGAACTTTCTGCGCCTGTTCGAATGGGACACTTCTGGCAAGAAGTTTAATCATGTCTCTTGATTTTAAAATTATATATGGGTCCCAGGTTTTTCTTGTTGTTTTGACTAACATCTTGCCTTCGACTAAATCCAATTCTGCCTTGATATGGTAAGAATTCAGAACATTTTGAACTAAATCCCAACACTGTTTCAAATATTGCTCACGGTATTTAGGAAATAACACAGAAAATGAACTCTCTTCAAGCATTCCATGAGGGTTATGTTCGGGTTTAAACTCTGGAATTTTCATTTCCCAAGCGTTGTCTACCACTTCAGTCTTATGATCACTTTTATCATTACTCATGATTCTGATTTTAAAATAGGCATATAGTTCAAAGTTTGAGTTTTAATTAATTTAATCTCGATAGCCTAGATCAGAATTCATTAAATACACGTTAGTTAGGCCTATACAATGTACATACATAACCTAACCTCCAATCCAAAGAGCAGAAGCAGAACGAAATGAAATGAAATGAGAATGACAAGGGGTCTGACTTAGGGGAGGTACGAATGAGGCATTAGTTCAAAACTCCTCCGTGAACAGCGCTGTAGTAGAGAGTACTTTGGCAAAGAAGGTTTACTAATCGCAAAAATAGTTCTGTTCATAAAATAAAATTATAAATGCCTCAAATTCAATTTTATTATTTTTTAATTATAAAATTAAGCTATCATAACCTAACCGAACTAACCAAACTTGCTGATAATGAAATAATATAACAAAAGTTTATTAATAGAATAAATAATTCTGTTTATTAAATAAAACTAGAAATTGCTCTACTAAAATTGTATAATGACTTAATAATAAAATTAAACTGTCATAACCGAACCAAACCAACCAAACTTGCTGATAATAAAAAAATCATGGACAAAAAGTTAATGCCACGAGCGGGATTTGAACCCGGGACCTTCAGCAAATCAGCCCGGCACGCTAACCATTAGACCACAGATGCCGATGTCTACTGATCGTTTTGTTACGGTAATGGCGTTCCCTCAGCTTATAAGAAGCCCACAGCTGTCATCGTAGCCTCTTCTATACCTCCCCTGAGTAAATACCAATGACAAGAGAATGAGAATGAATACTTGTAGAAAAAATAACAAGTAACAAACAAATCAACTCTTTTAGGCAAGGAGTAAGAAGGAAAGGACTCGAGACTCGACCACGGCAACCTTCTTAACTCTTCTCCTTTCATATTAATTTTGACAAATATTTTTACAAACTATACAATAATTAAATACTTATTATTAATTAATAAATAATAATTTATTAATATCTTTTAGCAAAAAAATTATTCAAAGTACTCTGTCAGAGCCACGGCCGCCTATCAGAGCAGATACTGCCTTCCTTCCACCATGGGTCACCACAGAAAATTCTAATGCGCCAGATATACGGTTGTGGTTAATATACCCACACCACATCAAACATGCACACTACACACATGTCCATTTACCTGGCTGAATTTCTACCAAAATATTTCCTTAAAATGGTCTATTTCATATTTAAACATGTTTGATGTAGCTTCTTGTAAAGTAGGTAATTATCGTCCAACTATAGCCTCATTCCCACATTGTCTAAATTGTTTGAAAACTAAAATCACTAAACAACACCTAAACTCCTACGTAAATAGTGCTTTTCTGATACCTCCTCAACAGTTTGATTTTCACTCTCACCATTCTACGACACATCGACTTTTAAGAGTTTCTGAAGAAAGAATTTGAAAAAAAGTCATACTGCTGCAATGTTTCTGGATGTAAATCAGGCCTTTGACCGTGTTTGGCTTTGTTATTCAAACTAAAAAAAGTCCCCTAGTACCTTAAAATAGTTATTTAAAGCTTCCGTAAAGGTATGAACGTTTCAGTGAATATTAATGGCTCTCTATCAACTACCAAGACCAATACAAGTCGGAGTTCAATTTTTTCACCGCTGTTGTATAATATTTACACTTCTATTTGCACTTATAAAACAATATGCAATAAACAGCCATGTTTGCTGATGACAATAACCTCCTCTACTTTACACACCATGACATCGAAGTTGTGGCCCAAAACATTCAAAATTCCTTAAACGATTTAATGTAATGGTTCACAAAATGGGCCCCCCGAAAACTGGCAGATCCTCTGAGGAGTTTCTCAAGACATCATTAAAGAAAAAGACCCAGAAAACCCGTGACAACAGTGCCTGGTGGCCGGTGGGGGGGGGGGGGGCTAGCCATAGCTGACCCCTACTTATGTGAATGTAAATATGCTATTTTGTTTCTTATGTTATACCGCACCTGTATACTAGAATTGTAGCATTGTAATGCTGATCGGTTAATCTTTTTTTTAAGTGCTAAAGTATTAAAGTACAAGTATTCTCTACGCATCACTAACAACATTCCCATTCCCAAACAAACACTCCACTTCATTATTCCAACATGATTTTTAGTACAATGCTTCATATCTGTATAAGGAGGGGGGGGGGGGTTGGGGCGTTGTTAAGGTGCCACAACGGCAGCCTAACACTATGTCAACCCACGGTGATCACTTTATCCCCAACAGAGACTTTGGTTTAGTTTTGACAAATATCAATCCAATATAATTTTTTTATCATATCAAAACGAACAATCGTTTCTCGTTTGTCAACTGTCATCTTCAAGGGTAAGTATTTATACGTTTTATTTTATTTTTTTATTATAAATTACTCCGAAATTGAAAACAATTATTTATGTGTCTGCATGTACGGCTCGTGACATCTAAGCTGGCACTTGGCCTATCGCTACTATAGAAACTATTTCAAAAACATTATGTCCCGTCATGCGGGTTGCATCAACTGTCCTCGCGACCCATATGAAGGCGCTCAAGTACAATGCAAGGGGAGTCAACCCCGTGAGGCAGCGGAAATGTTTGCAGTCCGGTCTTTTCCCTAACTCCACCCTCCTCCCGCCGACACTGCCCGCGCTAGGCCAAGTGCCAGCTTAGGTGTCACGAGCTGTAATCAGACAACTCGTGTAAAATATGACAATGTTGAACAACGAACAGGACTAAAAAATACCGACTATTAACAAATATCTGTTTGTTAACCGAACATTTGCGTTCTTTTTTGTCATTTACCATTTTAAAATCAGTGTCTTGCCCGTCGTCCTTGTAGACAGGGGAATCGTCAATTCTTATGTGTATGAGTATGTGCGTGGGAGCGGTGGGAGTCAGTTATTCTATATAGTAATGATATTGTGGAGAAAGGCGTAATGATGAGATTTTTGCTTAAAGCATGTCTAAGAACAAAACTGTTTATGTGGACATTCAGCATTTGTCAACTGAGAGAGAGGAATAAGAAACTAAGCTAATAGGAAAATGTTCTGAAAATACCGAATACCGAACCGATATTGTCTGTCTGTATGCGGTAAACTTAGTAGTGTTGGCAATTTTTTAGATTAACATATACTAATGTATTTAAGTGCTTAGAATATAAACATTAGGTGGTGCGTTCTTCGTTCAAAATGGACATTGTGCGCGAAGTAAAAAGTTTTAGGTTTACAATTTTACTTCATATATTTGTGAGTATTCGTACATTATTGAATTTCTTCTTATGGCTACAATTTTAGTGGTTTTAGTCAATTAAAAGCAAATCAGATAAATCCGAGTTTACTTTTTAAATTATGTTTTTATCTTAATTATGTTTATTGCTCTATTTTATATTTTTATTATAGATTAAAGCATCCCACCTACTCTTAACTGTAACTAACTGTAGGTACCATTCCTAACCTTCATTTCTGTATGCATTGGTAGTGATGTAGACCTAGGTCTAACTTAATCCCTGCCCCTCCTTCTCTTTAGCCTAATTTGAGATCGGGATGATCATGAATAAGAATAACCAATGTGTTTGAGGCATCAGTGTTGTTCAAGCGATTGTTAATTAAGTTAACTGATGGTTGGCCCAGGTGACAGAATTGATTTGGACTAGCATTAATGCTTTTCTGTGTAACTGAATTTTGATTAAAAAAAGGTTCAAATACCTGCCATTAGGCAATCCAAATGTGGTTGTAAGCACAACTAGTTTCGGCACCTGTGTGTTACCATCATCAGGCTACAAGGAGAGGTTTCATTCTTCATATGAAGAGTGTCACATTGGTTAACACGAACATAATAAATAGGACATTTAAACTTGACACAAACACTAATACGAGACATTTATGGGAACTGATCACTTATTAAAACAGAAGACGCTAACCCAGCAGAGTTTGAGTCCAGATTGTTTGGTCAGTGCAGTGGTGTACCGGTACGTCCGTTATCTTATTAAGACAGCCTGATTAAGGTGCCACACAGGTGCCGAAAAGTAGGCCTAAAGTAAATGTTTAAAGTGATTTTAGAAGAATAGCCTATGTATGACTACATCCAAGAAATGTTTACTAAACTTTCATTGAAGGATTCAGTTATTATTCACAGTTAAAGGAAACAATAAACCACCTAAACAACACCAGACCTTTAAAAAACTCTGTATTCTTTCAGGTAAAAATAATTGACGCTACTACAGCAACCAAAATAATGTGTGAAATAACTTAAATAACATGAAAAAACTCCTGTAACACTTTGCAACTGCTCGAATTTGAGCAACATGTACCACTACTAAGTTATCACCTTGTGTTTGATTGAAAATCTGTGTTGTTAAGCGGAGTGAAGTAAAAACTGAACATTGTGGTCTAGGACATTCACCTTCTCATTTTAGGCCTATTATTGTCACATGTGATTGGAGATCAATAGTAAAACTTTGTTTTTGTCGTTAGTTCTGTGACTCTTTTAAGTGTGGAGAAATTGGTTGGAGAATCAGACCAAATTAAAAAAAACATGTGACTTAATTTATTCAATCGTTTAAAATACAGGGTGGGGCAGAGTGGACTCCCTGATTTGATCGGTTAACTGTATAAAAACCATACAAGATTATTACAAAAGCTTTTTATTTCTGAAATCTAAATACAATGCCATTTATTTTTCATTAAGTTATAAAATGATATCGTCCAGTTGAAGACCTTGACGAGCGATGCACATATTCAGCCGTTCAATGAAGTTTTCAAAAACTCTACGCAGCATATCTGGCATTATTCCAGTGATAACATCAACAATTGCTTCCTTAAGGGCTTCCAAGGTCCTTGGTCGAACTTTGTAAACCTCAGTTGCAGATTCGGTCGCCCGTACACTTGTAATCCATTTCCCTAAGGTTTTAGCATCGGGAACACTATCATGACAATTCAAACCAAACCGTCTACGAAATGCACGCTGGGTCACCACCACACTATCCTTATTTTTAAAGAACGTTTTGACTACAAAACCACGATGCTCGCCAGTTTATGGCATGGTGACTACTAACAATGGCGTCTTTCCCCCTACCACATGAAACCTCTCCCACTCCGCTAACTCGCGCGCACGCTCTTCAGCGACTGATTGAAACTAGGGAGTCCACTCTGCCCCACCCTGTAGGTATAACTATTTTTTCCATGGCTTAAAATTAAACCATCTTCATACTCAAATTTAGTGGAAGCTGATGGGGAAGGTGGATATTTGTGAATTTCATCTCTTGTCAGGAATTCTTTTTCTGTGCTTTCTACGGTAGGCCTACCTATTTTTATTGGTATATTGGGTCCTCTAAAGACTTGTTTAACAAGAAGTTGTATTTATGAATCTTACTTCTAGCTTAACCTAAAAGATTTAAACAAAAGTAGAATACCTCCGGGGGTTAAATACACTGGTTGTTATAGCACAACTAGTGTGCTTCTTAATATAGTAATTTTAAAATATTCAATCCAGACTAAAAGGACAAAATTCCAATAAAACTGTAAATTTAAATTTCCCACATTGTTCTTATTGAAAATGTAGCCCATAAGTAAAATGTTGTAGTTTTGTTTGTTATAAAAATTTATTTATTTTATAACTTACTAAACTATTAACATTTCACTTAAATAACACTTTATTACCTTCCCAGTAGCAGCAAACCTAAGTGCCCGTTAAACAAATATGCTGGGAAAGCGAGCTGGTCTAGTGGTTAGAGCGTGGGACTTTGGTCCCCGAGGTCCCGGGTGACTGGGACGGTGGCGTCGTCCTGTAATCCAGCTACTAGGAGGTCACAAATTATGGATATTTATAGGCATGCAACGTGGATGCGGTGCTCCCTGGTGTGAATTCACGTCCGCACTAGTGAGTACTACGACTATCCGCAGTACTATCCTGATAATTGGGGAGCGAGCTGGCGTAGTGGTTAGAGCGTGGGACTTCAGTCCCTGAGGTCCCGGGTTCGATCCCCGCCAAGTCACCAATGGATTTTATCGAAGTTATAATGCCGCAACCCCTAGGTCTAACCTGAAGTAATGTGAAAAACAATCCCAGGCTCGTGCCTAGCGTCCTAGGACAAAAAAATATCCTGATAATTAGACCAATTGTTAATACCTAGGCAAAAATGCAGTTCAGATTCCACTATAAACTGTAGGTCCCTTAGTTCCCATTAGCTGTGGGCTATTAATTAACAGCTGTGTCTAAGGAATATATGTTGGCCTTAGTCACTAAGAAGACTACAAGATCGGCACTCATCCTACACTCATCTCCATTCATACTTGGCTTAAAATACCTACAGTACTTTATATGGTCGACATTCCAATGAAAAGTATTAAAGTAATGTCCAGGGTTCAAATCTCCGATGGATTTTATCTAAGTGATATTGCCGCAACCCTTAGGTCTAGCCTGAAGTGTTGGTGGAAAACAATTCCAGGTGCATGCCTAACGTCCTAGGACAAAAAAAATATTTAAAATTTAGGGAATAAATCTGACATTTTAAAGGAGACAGTAGTAAAAATCCAGTCAGGCAAATGGAAATTCGCTTAGTCTGCAGGTTTGCTGCGGCGGGTGTATATTGCTATGTTTGACATTTGTATTACAGTCGTAGGCCTAATTTAAATGCCTGTTTTTCTGTTCTAGGTGTCATATTTATGTAACAACCCTACAAACAGTGGCGCAGTATCATTGACTACTGCTTCAATAGACTCAATTTTAGGTATGAGTAAATTACTTTTATATAGATTCATTTATTCAGCATAGCCACCAGGATTGATTTATGACAATATAGATTTACATAACTTACGTTTTCAATCGTAATTTAGTCTCGGGCAACTAGTTTCAAAACAATTTTTCATTTTCAAGCCTCTTGTTGTCTTTGGTAAAATTATTTGAACACATTGTTGTTGTGAATACCCAAAAAATACAACTTTTTACACACAAACACACATAGGCTACCTATATTATGTTAACATCAAATAAATGCACGGCCATGTCGTGTGCTAAATGGTTGTAGTCTACAGAGAGATAAAAAAAAAATTAATTAAAAACCTGTCTTTTACATGTTAATTTTTATCTATTTTTGCAAATTAATATTTGTTAGGCTACTTGGTTTTATTTAACTGAAAACACATAATAGGAGGTCTACCTTTTCCCTTTAGCAGGAAACCTAAGTAGGCCTACTTGTTAAACTTAATGCTGTTTTAAAAAGAAAATAAATCTGATGTTTTTAAGGAGACATTAGGCCTATAGCAAAATTTGTTGACTACAGTTTATTGCAACAAAGGTAGCCTTATTTTAAACTTGTTAGGCTACGGCACCGAATAATAACAGTTAATGGTCTAAAAAATTAGTTTATTAATTTTGTAAGATTAATTACTTACTTGAATTAATATATTTGTTCCAGCTTCAAATGAGTTAGTTTTCATCAATTTCTACGCAGACTGGTGTCGATTCAGTAGTTTGTTGGCTCCAATATTTGACGATGCAGCTGATAAAGTTGCGCAGGAGTTCCCCGTAGCTGGCCAGGTCGTCATGGGCAAGGTAGACTGCGATCAACAGAGTAAGTTTTATGGGCTACAGAACGTATAGTAGTTGAAGAGACTAATAAATAAATTACGAGGGGACTAACAAAAATTGCACATTTTAATAGAGTTTAAAACTTAACTAGTGTACATGTTGCTCAAATTCGAAAGCAATTGCAGAGTATTTCAGAAGTTATTTCAAAACGAATAACTGTCATAATATTTACAATGAGTTTAAAAGAGTCAATTCAAAGATTACCGGTGTGTAACTCATGGAGATACTCACGATGTATATAACAGTAATCATCATTTCCTGTACAAATATTTTATCATATTTCATAACCTGGTACTGCTTTTTATGTTTTCTACAAACATTTCCTGACTTAGCCGCATAAGGTTATCCATGTTCATCTTCCTTTTAAATAAACCTATGCATGGTACTACCCTTGTTGCCAGCAGTAAGTTTACAAATTTCAGTCATTCTTTAATAAAGATAATAACTTTTTTCATCACCTTAAGGACTTCCTGTTGTTTGTCACAATTTTATTTGTTCAATTGGCGTATTTTTGTTAAGTTGCAATAACGTTAATAATATTTACCCGAGAAAATGCAGGGTTAAAGACCTGATGTTGTTCAGTTGGGTTTTGTTTTCTTAGATATATATGAATAATAATTAAATGCCTTCAATAATAAATTGGTATTGGTTTCTTGATTATTTTCATAGGCTATTATTCTAAAATCACTTGACTTTTATGGAAACATAGATTAATGTCATTGACGTACCAGATTTATTTGGCCTTAGAAAGCTTTCCTCTGCAATGATCAAAAAGTTAGGTCCATGTTTCCTACTAAAAATTTTAGCACTTCGGCTAACATCCTCGCTCATCGTTTGTTCCTCGTTGAATCTGAATCTTGTAGATGTTCTTCATTATATAGGCTAATAATGATAATAAATTATTAAAAAAATATCTCCATTTCTTCTATTTGGTGGCGTTCTATTACTTTTTATGTTTCCATAATTAGCAAATGGGTTCTTTCAATGATTTAAGTTTTGTAGGACGCATTTCTTTAAATTGCAGTTTAAATAGGATAACATGGTAAATTTAAAATCCACTGGGGTCAGTTTGCAAATTTACGCGACACGCTCTTTCCAACGAGACGTCAATGGATTAAATCGGTTAAGAAATGGCGGAGGGGTTCAACCGAAAAATTTTGTGTTGGCGTGATAATTATATAGATTCCAAGGTGAAATAATAATTTAATACTCTTTTAAAATAAACTTTTAAAAGATTTCAAATCATAAAGACTAAAGAAGTGATAAGTACCTACCTCAATCAGGTTGGAATTATCAGAAAAATAGCCTATTTTAAATATTTCATTAACTGTTTTGCAGATTGATTAAGGATTTAGAATTGTACAAAAATGAGGATAACAGCTAGTGTACCTTAGAATAGAATCTTTTATTGTTGTTAAACATAATGCATGTAATAGACTGTGTCACATTTAAAATAGCCTTAAAGAGTGTAGGTAGGCCAAAGAACATACAGAAGAGACAATTTCAAAGACAAGTAATGTTTAATGTTGATGTTATGTTCAAAAATAGGCCTGTTAATATTTGTTATTAGCAAATTTAATAAAAAGTATAATCCTGCCATAAAAAAATTTCCACATTTTTCAAGTTTGTATGGAATAAATTTATCATCAATGGTATCTACTGTACAGTAAATTTTCCTGCTTCAATGTTACTTACAACTCTGAAATAGACTATTATCAATCTGTATAAAAAGTTAGGCTTAGCTGAGTTGACTTTTATTGACATTTCGCTTGCTTACATACTGACTTTTATAAATTTTGTAGGTTTGTAGTTGTTACCACAATGTACAGTGGGAGCTACATTTTTAATGATAATTCGGTACAATATACCATCCATTTATATTTTATCAACAGAGTGTAAATTACCACTCTCTTATCACTGCAGAAAGATAACGAGTAGGCGGAACAATAAGGTTAATGTCTGCAGCTCTAGCTCGGCCATTGGCCTTGAATTTGTTGATCCTTTACATACCGGTAACGATGTTTTGGTTTTGCTTACTGTTTCAGTTGTTTTCAATGTACTTTTAGGTTACTAAAACATTGTACTGAATTTGAAATTTTGTACGTTCAAGTTTAAAACATCTTGAGCATTGCTGATTGGATGGTTTATTTTTTTGTGTGTTTTTACGCCAGTGGCATTTTTTACTAAAAAAAAAAATTGGGTTCAAAACTTTGGTCCTGTTACTACCTTGTACTGTCTTGTTACTTGTTATTACCTAACGTCGACCTTTTTGTTAGATAGCATCATTAATTCATAGCCCAATGACAAATGGCATTTGGGTCTAAAAACAATCTCGCTTGGATTTGAACCAGCGACCACTCGGCGACCCAGACAATTTTAAGGTTTCAGTATGGAATGGAGTAAAAGTAGTCGGGGAAGTCAAGATATAGGTCTACTTGTATAAAATAATTTACCTGAAAAAAGTGTAGGCGTATCAATTGTATCATCATACAGTTTTTTTTAATATTCAGAATGTGATGCTTTCTAGTGTATTTATAATATTATTACAAAGGATTGTTTGATAATTAATTACAATTTTGATTTTTAGTGTGATCTTTAAATTTATATAACTAATAGTTATAATTAGTAACTATACAAAAAAATTGTAATTATATCAATTTTTTTACAGCAGTTTTCATAGCTGGACTGAATAAATGTAGGAAAAATTAGTCAAATAAAAATGATATGAAATTTCCGAGTAAAATTTTTCACTCCACAGGTGAAAGAGATGAATGAAGTGTTTGATTATCATACGACAGCTCTGCAGGTGTTTTCCACCTGACACAGACTATATACAAACTTTGAAAATCGTTTTTGCTTTTGCCACACCACTAAACAATTATTATCAATTATTTAAGATGGGGACGCCACTATGTGCCTATTTTAACCCAAATGTGAGTGAAGGATGAGTGGCGGGATCTTTTAGTCTTGTTAGTGACTAAGGCCGACATAAAAATCTAAAGGTATTCTCATTTTAAAACTCTGACCAACTATCCAGTCAAATATTTTTAGAATTGGACAGTGACTTAAGAAAAATACCCCCGCCGCAGCAAACCTGCAGACTTAGCGAATTTCCATCTGCCTGATTAGATTTAAACTAAATTGTCTCCTTAAAAATATCACATTTATTCCCTATTTAAACAGAATTAGTTTAATGAGTACTTAGGTTTGCTGCAACAGGGAGGGTAAAAAAGTTTGTTTTTTTTATGTAAAATATTAAAAGGTACTATGGTTTAGTAAGAAATTAATGTATTTTCCAAATTTTATCAAAATATGTTCATAAACAAGCAAACTACAACAGTTGACTTATTCTCCATAAGTACTTAGGTTTGCTGCAACAGGGAGGGTAAAAAAGTTTGTTTTTTTTATGTAAAATATTAAAAGGTACTATGGTTTAGTAAGAAATTAATGTATTTTCCAAATTTTATCAAAATATGTTCATAAACAAGCAAACTACAACAGTTGACTTATTCTCCATAAGAACATGGGAATTTTAAAATTACAATTTTTTTGAATTTTCTCCGTAACAATTAGGCGCATAATAACGCTTCAATATACTAAATTATTTGTTTTTTTAAGCTCTACAAAATGGTTTAAAAAGAAATTGTGAAATTTTGTGTTTTTAGGGTCAAAAATGGGAAAAACCTATTTTTACCCCATAAAACCCCCTATAAACCCCAGTTCCCATAGTCCGATCATGCTGGTTCGCGAACTCATTCAAGTTTATCCTGCCTTACACCTTCAAACCAAATTTTATCAAAATCGGACAAAAATTACTCAAGTTATCGTGCGGATGGACACATATATATATATATATATATATATATATATATATATATATATATATATAGATATATAAAAATTTGAACGAATGGTGTTTTTGGCCTCTGGGGACATCAAAATGAAAAAGTAAATCGGTCCCGGGCTTAGGTCTTACCATGAGACCTACGGTAATAGCTACTTCCCTATAGGGAAATTCGCTAATAGATTTTTTACACGTTTTGCAATTCAAAAGTATTTACAAAGTTTTGACAGTAATTTGTATCAAAACATTCCCTAGAATTGCATTTCCCTTCCTTAACTTTTTAGGGTAACTTTTTAGGGATCCTTTAAATAGTCTAAAAATTATTTGCTAACTATTTTAAGAGTTATGATAAAAATGAGGCATGGACCCGGGATTGATTTAATTTTTTGTTTTGATGGAGAGGCCAAAAACACCATCTGGCAAAATTCATAAAAATATATTTGTGTGTGTGTGTGCCCGTTAGCATGAAAATTCAAGGAAAAATCTTTAGATTTTTAAGGAATTTGGTACAAACACTTCAGTTTCCGCGAACTAGTTCGCGAACCAACCTCGTCAGGGAACCCTTGTCCCTCAAAAGATACAATTTTGCGATTTATTTTTTCCTTGGTTACATGTTGGTAATAAAAAAGATAAATAATTGAATATGCCAAAGCTTTGTTGTGTGTTTAGTGGTTATGAAGAAAATTAAAAAAAAAACCAAATTTTGAAGTTATATACTTTATTATTTTACTGAGGAAAATAAGTTAACTTTAGTATTTTGCTTGTTTGTGTGTAGGCCTATATTTTGATCACATTAATTTACTTCATATTCAGCTTTTAATATTTTTTAAAACAAACTTTACTACCCTCCCTGTAGCAGTATACCTAAGTAGTTGTTAAGCCTAATTATTTTAAATCTGACATGTTGTGGAAGTATTTTAGTGAAAATCTAACCAGGTAGGAAATATGCGTAGTTTGCAGGTTAGCTGCCAGGGGGCATTTTATATTGGTGTTAGAAAAATTGAATCTACGTGTATGATGTTTTACCGAGAACCACAGTGGCTTAGTGTTAATGTTATGTTGTTCTAATCTAGGGATGGTGTGTTAGCCATAGCCACCTTGCACCTATACTATCTTATCACAGGCTTGTACATGTTACTTGTAGGCCTTCTGTACATTTCTTCACTGCCTTTAGATTAACCCACTCACCAGTAGTAGGTCTATGAATGAATGAATGAATGAATGAAACAATGCTTTATTTACATGATCTAAGTACAAGTTTTACAATATTTCCATAATTAGACACCTCTCCAATATCCCCTTTTTTATGTAGTGGATATACAATTGACTTCTTAGAACTTTCTGGAACCTCTCCTGTATGTAAAATTTTGTTAAATAATTGAACTAAAATATCTGTTAGCCTCATTGGTCCAAATTTAAAAAACTCATACGGTATGCGGTCGAAACCAGCGGCTTTATTTACTTTTGATGCCTGGATAGCTCGATTTACTTCTGAGAAACTAATGTCTTTATCTAGAAACTGATCAACTATTAGTGGTTCGGCAAATAAAAAGGTCGTAGTCTCCATCGTAGTAGGTCTATGGTGACAAGTTTAGTAACAAATAATATGAATAATTGAAAGTTTGAACTTTTTACTGCCTATTTTTTTGTTTATAATTCACCTAGCCTATAAATAAATGTAGGCCTTCATAACCTTGAATATTGAGAACAAATCCAATTTATTCATTTTGGTAACATCTAAACTGGCGGTAGTTTGGTAAAATGATGATATAATTTAAAGTAATTAAACTCATAATAAATTAGTATGATAGAACAAAATGAGTTAGTGGCTCAGTCGGTAGCGTCACGGACTTCGGGCCCAAGGCAGCGATGTCGTGGGTTCGGATCCTTATAGAATCCTTTTTTAATACAATATGCTTCCTTACCGACATTTATAGTCAATATTCTTGTCATCAATATGCTTCTTACTTTTTATTTAATGCACAACATTGTCAATACTTAATCAACTCACTTGTCAAACACTTGTCACAACGCAATTAACCAATCCAAACTTGACACATAAAACTAACCTAACATAAAACAACAAACATGTACTCATGACTTTTTTCTTGTGGCAACATCACATGGAGTCACCCCTCTTTCTCTGTTATAATTTCTAGCAGTTAAACAGTCAGCTGTTCTTAACATGATAAAAGTGTTGAAATGTAAAACATTTTTTTTGTTCCAGCTGAGGTCGCGCAGAGATTCCACATCACAAAGTACCCGACGCTGAAGGTGATACGTAACGGACAACCGGCCAAGCGAGAGTACCGAGGGCAACGTAGTGTCGCAGCGTTCACGGAGTTCATCAAGAAACAACTTGAGGATCCCATCAGAGAATTCTCCGACCTTGCCGAACTCAAGAACTTGGACGTGAGTACCCTGAGCTGGCTTGAGTATGCGATTTCGTTTTATGGGGAAAGGATTGAAATTGTTTTTACGAGACTATAAGAAGTATTCATCTAGATGATAGGCTTCTATGGTCAAAGCGGATTATCAAATTTTAGTCTTTGGGTGATGACCAAATCGTTGAATGAGTAAGACTAGAGGCCATTGTTTCGGATGCGTAGCAGCTATCCATTTTCAGGTACAACTACATATATACAACTACATTGAATATCAGTTGAAATATACTAGTTGAAAAATAGTTGAAAAATAGGGGTTGATCAGTAGTTTCCCCCGAAGATGAATAGCTACCCTAAACATTAGAGGCTGAGTTACTGTACTCATTCAACGACGCAGTGAACACCCGAAAATCTAGATTAGATAAAATATTGTTCATTATAAAAAAATGTCTAAAAAAAATATGAGTTGCTTATAATCTGTTTTTGTCATGAAAAATATATACAGATTTAAACCAAATAAACAAATTCACTCTTTTTTTAATTTTAAGTAACTTAGCAATTAGCAGGTAACATTTTTTAATATTGATATTCCGGCATAAAGTTGTGTTCATAGTTTGTTAAGCTAACTCAAGCTATACAAATATTTTCTTGGTTAAATACCTTTTTCTTGTTACTAAAACACCCCGAAAGTATGTTTAATAAAAAATAAGATGGGTCACATCACAATATGAAACTATTTTGGTGCACTCACAAAATAATGGTACTGCCTAGGAATTTATGGTTGAAAAATTTTACCTAAAAGTAGGACCTATTCGGTGGTGAACATTGAGAAATAATGTCATGGGAGATTTATTTTGAAGGACAATTTTTTCACGTATTCACAGGGATATAAGGTACACAGGAAACATTCAATGGCACAATTAAGTGGTGTCTACGACAAAGTCTAGGGGCAATAGTAGTGAAGGAAGGGCTGAGCTGTTTTATACGCTGATTGTTAAAATTGAAAAAAAAAACTTAAGATTTTAGCGTATTAACTCAGATACTGGGCTTCATTTTAATTTGAATACATTTGATTAGAATCACCATTGTAACGAATTTGTGGTTTTCAGTCTAAGAAAAGGATCATCATCGGATTCTTTGACAGAAAGGACGTTCCTGAATACACAACTTTCAGAAGAGTCGCTACAAACCTCAAGGACGACTGCCAGTTCCACGTCGGGTTTGGGTAAATATTTCACAATCATTGTGCATCTAATTACTAATAACTTAAGAGTATTGCTCTAAGATTTGGTCGCCAAAAGAGTCAAAGTATATTGCGTGTGGTAGAAATTTGTATTCTTGAAAGAATACAAATTTGTAGCTAGGTATTCTCGCTCATTTAATGTAAAAGTGACACTTTATTTTCATAGGTAACATGTTATTACCTCTAATTATTTTAGGAAATTACTAGTTTGCTGAACATATTTATTAGGATGCCTTAACTGGGGGTTCTTAAAAAATCTAAGGGATTCTCATTATTTACTTACAGTTATTCATGGAAATAACTATTAAGCCTTAAGTCTTAAAACTTAAGACTTAAGTCTTTGAGGTGAGTTGGTGGCTCAGTCGGTAGCGTCACGGACTACGGGCCTAAGGCAGCGATGTTGTGGGTTCAGATCCTAGTTACTGCAGAGAACATTTTATCAGTACAAATCACCTTTGTACTGTACTGGCTCACTCCTTGCTTTGCTGTATAAGATCCACGCACGGGCAGTTAGTCTATGTAGATGGGCAAATGCAAGGTTAAAAGAGGCTGCCAACCACTTAAAAAAATAAAATAAATAGACAAATACCTTGAAAACATCAATTGTCAAATGTGATAATATTTGCTGTAAATGAAAATTATTTACATTGGTTGCATTTAGTTTTTTAATTGATTAATAACTAAAAATGTGCCCAACAGTAAGACAATTTAGTTTAAAAGGTAGAAAAATCTTCAAAAGTGATATTCATGTTTGGTGTATAAAGGTAAGTTCGTTATCGAAGTATTGGATATTTTAATTATTTTACATAACAAGTTACAAGTTTTAACTTTAAAAATAATCCTGCAGTTAATGTGAAGTGCACATTGTTTGTGTTGAGTGTGGCAATTACTAAGCACATACTAATCTATACGTCATATTTGATTTAGGTCTTCACTCTTAAGCAAAAAGTGACAGTGCTTTTTGTGATATGTTTGTTCCTTTTGAATAGGCCTATTGTAGACTATAATGTTTCAGGTTATGTTACAACTTAGCATTTGGGTAAAAATTACTTAAATGCAAAAAACTAACATATTTAAATTGTTTTTTTAGGCCTAGCTGAATCTCAAATGTGTGTAAATTTGTTGTTTTTTCTTTCCCTAACACAATGGATCAACTTGGTAACTAGAATTAATTTAGTAACCTCTGTAATAATCTTTTTAGTGATTTAGTAAAAAGTGAGCTCGAGGAAGTAGGCGCCAGTCACAAAATTACCTTTTACCCGGACGACGCTACTAATGAAGAAAAGGAAAACTACAAGGGAAACCATACACATTTTTTGGAATTGTTTCTTTGGGGGAGTAAAATGTGCACACCCCTCGTGCGAGAGATCAACTTTGAGAATGCCGAAGACATCACGGAGGAAGGTCTGCCGCTGATGATTCTGTTCCACAAGGGAGGGGATGAAGAGACGATACGGAGATACAAGAACGCTTGTCAGCTGATCAAGGCGGAGAGAAGTTAGTATTCACGGCTTTGAGGGGTGTACAAGTAGTTGCGTAAATGTCGTACAATGCCGGGGTTTTTTTTTCATATCCAAATGTTTTTTCAAACACCAAAGTCATTGTAATTTAAATGTCTAGTAAACTGTGAGATCCAAAATTTGCTTTATAGTTTTTAAATTATTTTACAAATTAGATCGTCTAGGCTCCAAGGACAATTAATTGGTGGTTGAGCCAATTGGCATACACAGAAATTGAAATGTTACCGTAGATTATTCCTTGGGAATCAAACAAAAACTAAAACCATGAAATTAAACCTCTTTACAGACATAGGTACTGTAAATGTATTGAAAATGTAAAAATTAATCTGTGAAATTTATACAAACACAGCTAATCTTGGTGATAGAGCAGTAGTAACTTACAATGAGCAGAAATGGGGTATCCATCACTCCCCCCCAAATTGCCGTGCTTTTAGCGAATTTCCCATATAGGGAATAAGCTATTACCGTAGTACTCATGGTAAGACCTGGACCCGGGACCGATTTATTTTTTCGTTTTGAGGTCCATAGAGGCCAAAAACACCATCCGTTCAAATTCATATATATATATATTTATATATATATATATGTCCGTTAGCACGATAACTCGAGCAAAAATCATCCAATTTTGATGAAATTTGGTACAAACATGTAAACCTACATTTATTCGAACGAGTTCGCGAACCAGCATGATCGGACTATGGGAACGGGGGTTTATGGGGGGTTTTATGGGGTAAAAATAGGTTTTTCCCATTTTTGACCCTAAAAACACAAAATTTTACAATTTCTTTTAACACCATTTTGTAGAGCATAAAAAACCAATAATTTAGTATATTAAAGCGTTATTGTGCGCCTAATGGTTACGGAGAAAATTACAAAAAACTGTAATTGTAAAATCCCCATGTTATTCTTATGGAGAAAAAGTAAACTGTTGTAATTTGCTTGTTTATGAACATATTTTGATCGAATTTGGAAAATACATTAATTTCTTACTAACCTATTAACATAAAAAAACCACCTTTTTACCCTCCCTGTTGCAGCAAACCTAAGTACTTGTTTAACTAATTCTATTTAAATAGGGAATAAATATGATATTTTTAAGGAGGCATTTTAGTGTAAATCCTATCATGCTAATGGAAATTCGCTTAGTCTGCAGGTTTGCTGCGGCGGGGGTATTTATTTTAGCGCTCACATTGCCAAAGTCTCATAATGGCACATAATTGTTATTTTACTCAAAATCTGTTCAATTAATTGGACATTCGAATAGTTGAATTCCTACTGTTATCACATTCCAGGCTTTGTTTTTTTCATACCCTCTCACTTATCATGCACAGGTTTTTTAAAAGTAAATTTTGCACGTGCGGAAGTTTAATCAATCTATTGCAGTTGAAATGTTGATCAATTAAAAAGTTCCAGAATGCAGTGCAACTGATCCTAAATTTAGTTAAGTACAATGGAGCTATAAAATCAAATAGAGCTTGCCAAAATGTTGCACTATTTCAACTATAATAGTCTCTTGCAAATACTCGGTTGGGAGACTGAACAAATCGAATGCAACATCTTCAAATCAACACTCGTACACCCTATATTTCAAGTACAGTACCATGGTGTGAATTAAGTAGTGGGTAATTTTATATGCTCAGTTTGCAAAACTAATCGTGATTATGAATTAAACTTAGCTTCGAGCCTATAAATTCAGGCTCAACTTAACTTAAATGTTCATTTAATTTTATATTGATAGCCACATCTTGTACATGTTTAAAAAAATTACTAACTATAAAACTGATTTTAGAGAGTAAATAAATCATTTTCAATATTTTAACTTTCAAAAGGATTTGAGTGTTAAAACTGTATGAACAAAAATTATTTTTAATGACTTTTTTATTCAGAAATTTTATGTTTCCTCTGAAGTTTTTTTTCTTACTGTACAATAGAAGCTCTAATAAAAAACCTTTAATTACAGTAATTCTTCATGGATATACCTATCTGATATTGTTTGGTACCTTGTAGACATTGGCTTTAAAAAAGTGTTTAGAACAAAATCTAAGATTGACAATAATAAATTGTGACAGCTTATTTGGTTTTTGCTAGACAAGAAAACAGAAGCAATAAAAAATTAATATAAAAACAGGGAATCAAATAATTTAGTGCATAAATCAAATAAATATAACGTTAAATTGATCCCAAGCTGCAAGAGTGTTATTTCTCGAAAAAAATGTAATTTTGGTAAAATTAGGGTTGTTCTTAAAGTACAAGGTTCTTTGAATGTAAACATGGCCCAATTAAATATTATTCTCTTTTAAAGTAAAATTACCTGTACTACTTTATTTCTGGAACAAATAGCTCTTACTAATCAGGAACAGAAATTACGGTTTCATATCAATTAATTATTTAAAGAACACAGTTGTAATAAATTGGTTAATTATTTGAAAAAAATCTGTACCTTTTGTGACTGTCTTATTGTTTAAAGAGTTTCTTTTGAATAAAAAATCACTACAACGTCCATTTCCTCAAATAAAGCCAATTACATTTTCAATTTCAGACCGAGTTAACTTTCTCTATGGTGATGGAGATTTATTCTCCCACCCCCTAGCTCACCTGGGCAAAACCCAAGACGATCTTCCTGTCATCGCGATCGACAGCTTCCGTCACATGTATCTGTTTCCGAACATCACCGAACTGGATAACCCGGACGCACTGGAACGATTTATCGAAGATCTCTATTCTGGAAAACTCCACAGAGAATACCACTTTGGTCCTGACGAAGAGAACGAAGCATTCATAATTTCTGTGGAAGAAACCGTGAAAGAAGAAACACCGCCTCAACCGCAGCCAACGCCTTCAACTGAACCGACATATCCAACATCGCCTACGTCACCACCAACAAAGAAGAAGACTTTTGAGTTCAAACATAACAACCCGCAACCGACGTCGGAATTGCCAGAATCAGTTTTTGTAAAACTGCAGCCGTCCCGTCATAGATATACGATACTTCGCGATGAGCTCTGAGTTAGGTTAGGTTAGGTGCTGTGAAATTTGTAGGTTATTCAAATGGACTGTAAGAGATTTAATGTACGTGAGCGATGTATAAATTAGATCTGAACAATATATTTGATTATTCAATTCAGCCGATTCGATAATATTTTAAAACGAGCAACCTTTTAAACTGAGGTATTGATTTTTTTTGCATTTCGTTGCAACTTTGACCTTAGATTTTATTTTCAGGTTTAGTTTAAAGATTAGATGTGTAAGAATATTGTTTTGTTCTTTTGTAGTTTATCTTGTGTGTTTTGAAACAAATTGAAACTAGGTTGTGTATTGTCAAGGTTGTCAACCAATTTTTACTCATCTAATTTTTTAAATATTTTTATTTTTAACTGTGTAAAGTCTTTTTGTGCATGTGATTTTTTTAGTGATGTGTCCATTTTAGTGAAACAGATTTTGGTCCACTAGCTGTACAAAACGTTTAAAGCTATTTGTGAGGATATTATCTGTTTTCTACAACACCCTTTAGTTCAGGTTATCCAATCAACTGCAAACCCCCTAAGACGGTCAACAAGCCCTGAATACATTTAACAAAGTTTGTAAAATAGTGTCTGCAAATTTAGCTTTTCTTACCTAGATTTAAATATTATTTAATTTGAGAGCTTTTCAAAAATTGTTTAAGCAATTGGATTTTTTTTTTTTATTTGCTGTTAAAATATCAACGTGAGCTTCAATTATCAGCTGTTTATCTAAACAAATCATTTCATTAAGAAACTCTAGAACTTGGACATAAACAACACAAAATCTCTCGGGAACCCAAAAGGCACATCTAGGGTGCCTGTACTTAATCTTAAACACGGGAATTAACAAGTTTATGGTATATTTCAATACAAAATCAAAGCTTCCAATATGGTTGTATGAGAATAAAACTAAAAACTCATCATACATCACTCAAATAGTGACAGCTTTGTTGTGATTTTATCAATAGTAGTCGAGGCTGAAAATGAGTGGTTCGCAATCTAATACGGCTGAGTGACATGCAGGTTAATATCCTCACAGTAAACGCAATCATTTATTTTTCTGGTTTATTAACTTTTATTGAACATTTTTGTTTATTTGCTAACATTTAAAATAACCATTGTGGAAAATAAACTAACCTCATATATTAAAAAAAATTGAATTAGTAGAATGAAGAACATTGTTGATAACTTGGGACCTTAATACCTCTGTTGGCTTTTGTTGTGTTAGGGCCAGATCTTTGTGTAAATTTGCATAAGTCTGAACAATTAAAAGTTAACACTTCGTATATGGATATGTTTGAAATCAATATGTTCAGATTAAACTAAGATGTCTTGCTTCATATTTATTTACACTGTAAGAATTTACTGTCTTGTAAATAATTACGTTGTAGGTGCAGATCTGTCAATTAAGCGTTGGAAAATGTATCATTTTATCCGTAGCATATTATTAAGGGGTCCTTAATAATTCCTTAATAATTACAGTCCTTAATAATTCCTGGCAAATGCCCTATCTTTTTATCAGATTATCCGTAGTATAGCTTGATTGTATAGTGCTACGCTAACGTAGATGTGTAAAAAAAAATAATCTACTCTACTAAACGGAAGAAGAAGTCTTATAAAAATTATATTAGTACATATTAAACAGTGATAAACCTGTATTTACATGGTTAAGGAATGTTGTATGTGTGTGTGGCAGTTAGTCAGGTGGCCGAACTAAACATATCCGAACGAGAGGAAGTTTACCAAAGACCAGTGTTGAATTCCAACGTAAGAAACTGCTGCTGCCTAAGTTATTATAATTTGAGTTATTTCTAATCATCCCGATAAGTAGCTTGGCTAAGCCATTGATTTGATAATTGGGACTTGGATGGTTGATAGTCTACTGTTACTGTACCTACAAGCTTATCTAACAGGTCTAACTTATACATAGTTTTAACATCTAATATTTCTAACATTCTAGTTCTAATCTACTTACTGTGAAGTAATTTTAGGTTTGCATTGTATTTCACCTAATGCTTGTTGTAACAAATGCTAACCTATGTGTTGAGAGATTTTCCAGGAAATTACTAAGGTCCGAATGGTCCGAACGAACGTTACGGGGTTGATTAAGGTGAGCAAACGGAAAGCACCCTATATTGCATCCGGCTTTGGAGTGTTCGTTGTTTCACTGGTGATGAATCAACTCCCACATTGAGTTTAGCTTGCAATAGTGTTTCTCAACTTTAAAATTCAAAGTTCGATAATTTAAAAAAATATTTCAAAGATGTAAAAACCTTTTAAACCCTAAAAACAAAGAATTGAGTCAGTGATTCTTCAATTATTAACAAAAGCGTGTTAAAGAAATTTAATTGAAGATTAGTCGGAACAGAAGTATACGATTCATTGAGTCCTATTGATGGGGGAGCGAGCTGGCGTAGTGGTTAGAGCGCGGGACTTCAGTCCCTGAGGTCCCGGGTTCGATCCCCGCCAAGTCACCAATGGATTTTATCTAAGTGATAATGCCGCAACCCCTAGGTCTAGCCTGAAGTAATGTGAAAAACAATCCCAGGCTCGTGCCTAGCGTCCTAAGGACAAAAAAAAAAAAAATTGATAAATTTGATATTCACACTAAGTGTTAAAGTTGGGAAACACTGGCTCGTTCTTTGCTTTCCAAAGGGACTGGTTTTAAAGGTTTTAAGAGTGGTTTTATCCTTGTTATAGGATTTTGTGAGTTTATGTTTGGTTTATGATTTGTGTATCATTGGGATTTTTATTAATGATTCTATTCTGCTTATTTCATACGGTAAGGTTTTATCGTGTAAGTTTTCTAGTAAATTAAACTACATGGAGACATATTTTATATGCATATGGATTGTATATATATATATATTTTTTTTTTTTTATATAATGTTATAGGTACATGATGAGGTGAGGGTCATTTTTTTAAGTGCTTTTTGACCTAAACTCAGGTACGCAGGTTCTGGTATTATACCTGAATCACATGAAACCTTCAAATTCGAGAGTCATTAGGTGATGAAAAATAATCAAAGATAACTTGGTTTTATCACCTTGATAATTTTATTTCTGGATTTGTGTTTGCCAGTGGGCTGTTTTATACCTTTATTAATTAGTTATTATCTCTAGATAAAGGTAAATATAGACTGACCTAGAATACTCAAGATAAACATTTAAAGGTCCCAATAAATGTTAATTCTTAGTGTAATTTAATCTCAATTACATTTTACTTATTTAGTAACACAGTTGATTAAACAAATTTAGACAACTTAATTTTTTTTTGTTTCATTCTAGATTTTGCTTTTTATTAAACGAATGTTGAACACAGAAACAAATCCTTGGTCCCATACATTCATTCATTAATTTTATTCGTCTGCACTCTTTGGTATATCAAATCTAAAAATATATTTTTAGAATTCAGTATACAAAATAAATAATATGTCTCTTTCTGAAAAAAAAATAGGCTTAGGAAAGAAAAGTTTGGTATTAGTTTCCTCATGTAAGTTTTGATATGTGCTTTTTGACACATTTGCAGTGGGTTGTTTAGGTTCCGGTTGGTCATTATTCAGCGGCCTGCCACTGTGTTACAAGCTGAAGCTGAGTCCAGTTACAACCTGTTGAAAAAATTTTGTATGCTGATATTTCATCGTATTTCGGCATGATGTAATTTCCGATTGTTACAATTTCTTAGGAAATGTGTCAATGTAGCTAAGGTATTCAGAGATTTAATTATTTTCATCTCAATGTATCTGTTTTGTTTCTAGCCGTCGTGTTAAAGCAGATCAAGAGAGTCGACTACAACTTTTGGATTTTATAGTTTTTAATTTCTTAATTCAAGGATTTCTTCGCTTATCCTCAAAACACCATTTTGTTTGCAGGGAAGTGGTCAGAGCGATGCACCCTCCCGGGCAGCCAATCGTTGTCTTTCGTCCGGACGTTGCAATGTCCAACGAACGAGACGAAACTTTCAACGGCTCTCTACTTAGCTATGACGAGACCAATGTTTGGATGTCGGAGAAATGTGTTCCTCTCGTGAGGGAAATAACATTTGAAAACGCAGAGGAGTTGACAGAAGAAGGACTGCCGTTCCTGATTCTCTTCCACAAACCCGGCGACATGGACGTGGTGAAGCGGTACAAAGACGTTTGCCAGTCGCTTGCCAATGAGAAACGTAAGTACATTTGTCAACTGATTCTAGTGATGTGTACCAAATTGTACCAATAAGAGATGTAATCGTTTTTCTCAGTAATGGCAACTTTTTCTCCTGCGTAGGCTTATATGGTTGTTGCATTCTGTTACTTCAGCAATGTTGCCAAGAGTTCGTTGTCAACATCTGTTGTATCTCAACAACCATTTCGCGTTGAACTTTACTAAGCCATGAGGCTCGTTACTAATTAGTGTAATAATTATAATAATTAGTGAAACAAATAATAATAAACTTTCAATACGCGTTCTAGCTGCTCATGATTACTAATCGATAATTGGGAGTTTACTGTATTGGAGGCATTTGATTGATTTAGTTATTTTTGACCTGTGATACTTAACATACAATTGATTTAGTGGTATAATTTATCAAAGTTCTCTTGATTGTTTAGTTGGGCAGAGTTTTAAATGTTTCATATAACTTTCTGTAAACCATTCATGTATGTGGTATTGCATTAAACAAAAAAAAATATATGTATCAAATCAAATCATTCTTTATTTTGTAGTTTCATTAAGAATAATACAATGGCGTCAATAAAAATACAATAATATCACTTAAAACTAGGGTATTTACTCAGGAGAGGTATAGAAGAGGCTACGATGACAGCTGTGGGCTTCTTATTAGCTGAGGGAACGGCATTACCGTAACAAAACGATCAATAGTCATCGGCCTCGGTGGTCTAATGGTTAGCGTGCCGGGCTGATATACTGTAGGTCCCGGGTTCAAATCCCGCTCGTGGCATTAACTTTTTGTCCAAGATTTTTTTATTATCAGCAAGTTTGGTTGGTTTGGTTCGGTTATGACAGTTTAATTTTATTATTAAGTCATTATAAAATTTAGCTATTTAGCTATTTAAAATTTTGCTATTTAGTAGAGCAATTTCTAGTTTTATTTAATAAACAGAATTATTTTTTCTATTAATAAACTTTTGTTATATTATTTCATTATCAGCAAGTTTGGTTAGTTCGGTTAGGTTATGATAGTTTAATTTTATAATTAAAAAATAATAAAATTGAATTTGAGGCATTTATAATTTTATTTTATGAACAGAACTATTTTTGCGATTAGTAAACCTTTGCCAAAGTACTCTCTACTACAGCGCTGTTCACGGAGGAATTTTGAACTAATGCCTCATTCGTACCTCCCCTAAGTCAGACCCTTAAAACTAATAGGCTACAAGAGTTTTTTTTTGTTTTTTTTTGCTTAACAATTACTAATAGATTTATTATTAGTACTAGATTTTTGCGATTCAATTAATTTTAGAAATGAATATAAACACCGGATAAATCATAGACATGCTGTAAACATAGTCATAGAATCTACAAACATAATTTGATCACGACCAACATCTCCGTTCCAGAAAACATCAACTTCTTAACTGCTGATGGGGAGAAGTTCGCTCACCCCCTGCACCATCTCGGCAAATCCCAAGACGACCTTCCGTTGATCGCAATCGACAGTTTCCGACACATGTATTTATTCCCGGACGTAAAGGACATGGAGACGCCTGGAGCGTTGTTGAACTTCATCAAAGACTTGTACTCTGGGAAACTTCACCGAGAGTTTCACTATGGGCCGGAAGCCATGGAGGTACTTCAAGTGGAGGGTAAAATCGGCTCACCGGACGCTAAGATACCATCGACAACACCTCCTGAATCCACCTTCAAAAAGCTCGGACCGTCTAAAAACCGCTACACTCTGCTCCGAGACGAACTTTAACCCTATCACTTTCCTGTCCGTTTTGTATATAATTTCTACATTTCCCTCGTGCACTGTGTGTTTTCCCTCGGAATAGTTGTGATTGAAAGGTTGTGTACCATAAATGTAATAAATAGTGTTAGTGTATATTTTTAGGTTAGGTTTTTTTAGTTTGCGTTTTTATTTTGTAATGATTTTCGGTTTAATCTTTTAGCTAGAAGAATTAATATAGTTAACAAAATTATTTTTACAAAAATTATGTCCTACAAAAACCTGAAAAATGGTTTGATTTTTCCAAATAATTACTATTGGTTTTAGATTAATTCAATTATTATTACCGATTGATTATAAAGATACTATAAAAACCAACAACACACAACCATACAAAATGTATGTTGTATGGTTTGTTACATAACCATACAAATTAATTTCAACATCAACTTCACATTCATTCATGATGTAAACAATTTTATCAATATTTTAAGTGTAGTTTTATATTGTTTATTTACTAACGTTTGTTTGAGTTTTTTTGTTTTTGTTTTGCTTTTTGTTGTGTGTTTTCTGTTTCATTGTAAATTAAAATCTTGTCTTGATTTGACCACCTAAACATAGTAGAGATTTCAACCTTTCGTAAAAGGTGTTGATGACATCAAATATTGTAAATATACAAGTTTTAAAATAAAACTTTCCAGAGAAAACACACACTGTCCATCCCTACTTAATGTAAACTAATTTCCTATTAAACTGTCTCTAGCTGCTGAATTTTATAAAATTGTAAAAGTACTTTATCACTTTAAATATTTTGAACCTAAAATATAAATGCTCAAAATAAATTGAATTATTTATTTGTTGGAAACACAGTATTGAGCTTGAAGCCATGAGACTCTTTTGCCAAAAACCACCTGCACTGTAAACTTAGTCTTTCTTATTAGTTTTGTCTAGATAAAAAAAATTGTTGCATAGTCTGAAAGTATTATGTAAAATTTTCAATTGTACGTAGTTTTGTACGTATTTAGTCATTAGAACTATCCAAACACTATCTTTAAGCGAAGATTGTAAAAATGTATAGTAAAACATATGAAATGTGTTCCAAGTATAACATTTGAAGGAATAAACAGTTGTTTATTTTACGTTTTCATACCAGTTTTATAAATTCTTTTTGCTTCACAACTATTACTATTGCTATTTACTATTGCTGCATTATTACTTCAAGTCAATTTAATCTTCCATAAGTATTTTTAATTTCAAAATAATAATTTCCTCCATAACATTATTGCATTCCAAAATAGATTTCGTGTTCTGTTCTTAAAGCTAAATATTTTATTAAAAAAAGTAATAAACTTGCATTTTTTATAAATGAACTAAACTACCACCGTTAGGGTAAAAAGTATCCTCTTTTTTTAACCGATCGTAGTTTTTATTAAATGATATAGGTGCATATGAAATTTATAATCATACTGGATTCAAAAGTTTGTAAAGTTAAATTTTGGATTTCAAGAAGCAGGAATGTCATTTCAGACTGATTCTAGTATAAAAATGTACTGTATCCTATAAAATTACATTTTTTGTTTTTTTTTCATGAATTGAGTTTTTAGTATTTAATTAGTCTGTTGAAGTTATCGATTGTAGTTGTTAAGAGTCAGCAGAAGTTTTGCTTGATGCTGAAGCTGAAACATAACCTAAATAGGAAACAATATTGTCCTCTCCTAATATAAATCGTTAACTTAAAATATACAATATTCCTTATGTCTTAACATATTCTTTCAACTTTTACCATGCCAAGTATTGAAATTGTTAAAAATTAAATGTTTAAAATGGGACTAATGTTAATGTATAGCCAAACACTAATGCAGAATTAAGAAGCCTACTATTTTTTGGAAATAGTTGAAACTAGAAACATTTTCAAGTTTGAATCATCCGCCGTTAAAATGTACTTGCCCTATACAGTGATTGTAATTGGTCAAAAATTGTTTAACATAGTGAACCATGGGGAGGTAATTTTTATACCTGAAAAGATATGAAAAAACCATTATTATTACTTATATTATTAAGTGGGCTTCCTTGCACTGAATATAGTACAGAAAGCTGCTTATTGCTGCATTTTTTACTTACTTTTGCTACACTCTTTTTTTCCTCACTCCAGTATTCCAACCAAACAACACAAAACAGTGTGCTTTTATTACTTTAAAATTGGTATACGCTTGAAAATAAGTTGGCAACACTTAAAGATACTACGACTACGATCAGCTGATGTAGCATTTCCAATTTTGTTTAATGCTTGGATTAAACCTAACCTAAAAACTTGTTGTAGACAATTATAGTAACTGCTTTATAGTAACTGTAGGAAAAATATAATGTGTAACACAAGTGCAAAGTTCCTTTGCTGCACTCAAGAAACTTTCCACACTCGCCTGCGGCTCATGTGTAAATGTCTCTCATCTGCAACAAAGTGCCACTTCACACACTAGTTACACAAATAGCTATAGTATCTTTGTTTACTTCATATTTTACATTACTTCCTCCTTGTTGAAGCAGGTCAAGCAGACATCTTTGCTGACTCTTAAGCCTTTAAATCAGTCATTTTTGTCGTCTGCCAACACAATCTCAGACACATTTTGTTTTTTGTATAACTTGGATTGTAAAATGTCAAATTGAAATAAATTTAAGTTTTTAAACGGTTTTTACGTTTTTTATTTTACCCTTTAGGCCCCAAAGGCTGGTTGTGCAAGTAAGATCGCAAGAACATCTCTTTTATCTATCATGCATGTGTAGATAAAATTTACATATCTCGAACAAAAATTGCGGAAAACTGTGCTCATCATGTTCTGTTATTTGGGAGACTGTACGTTTTTGCATTTGGTTTACCAGTTGTAATGTTGGAGACATCACCAAAGTCCAAGGGATGGAATCTGTGGTAGAGCTCGTAGGGAGAAAAGGGAAAAGGCTCGATAAAACAAATCATGGGCAGCTTGGGTTGAAGTACAGAATAAATTGGCCTTCAGAGACATAGAAGCCTCAAAAGACAGGGAAATAACTTTTTTATTTTTATCTGTAAAATGCAGGTTTTAGTGCGCTGTTGCCAAGTCTTGCAGCCCCTTGTTTTTGATATCTCAGTTCCCGCCACAAGAGGCTCTGCTACATTACTATCGGTTTGTTTCTAAAGTAGGGTAACTTAACGAAGAAGGGTTCTTGAGTCGTGCACGCTGTCGTTAAACCTCACCCAAAGTTCTTTTCAAAAATGTATTTGAAATAAAAATTATTAATACAAATTTGCTAGAGACAAGGAATCTTAGTCATACTGACCTTTTGGTACAAAGAGATATACTTAAGTCATATTTATTCTAATTTTACTTTCTGTGTTCCCTGTCTATCAAAAAGGGATTTAAAATTACGTCTTATGTTCATAAAAAAAATTAAAATTTAAATGTAGGCAAAATTTAATCCATAAACCAAACAAAAGGGGAATTTTAATTAAAACTTAAAGAAATTAATTGCTGCCACCTGAAAGCAAAGGGGGACAAATATGTTTATTATCCAAATAACAGTTCAATGTTCAATCGTAAAATTGGATTATTGATATTAGGGTCAAGTGAAGCACGAGTGTGGGTTAATACGAACTTCATTGCCACTTGTCTTATCAATGATAAACATTGAAGGAATCAGGAGATTATCAGTCACCTCTTCACTTACCTGTGTCGCTGATTAGTTCAAATCACAAGACTTTACAGGGGTATTAATGCTGATACTTGCTGCCAATCAGCCAATTTACAAGCTGATAAACTTGCCTCGTGTAATGAGCCAAGTTAAAAGTTAACAAAAAATTTAAAGCTGTATTTTATCGAGGCTTTTTATCTTTTTTGCTGGCCAGGTTTTGAGCAAGCTGTGATTTGAAATCATTGTTCTTAATACAAGAGGTTATAGTCGAAGTTGTCTCTAAATGTTGTAAGAATCAAGAATACTATCAAGAGGAATACTAAAACTTATCATGATTATATGTATATAGGGGGTTCAAAACATTCACCTACTCTGACATCCCAGAGAGGGAGTAAGTATATGTCATATATTTACTTTTTTGGGAACTTAATTTTTTTTACAAATAACCTAACTGAAGAAATTGCTAATAACACAATCAAATAAATATTTTACATTTAACAATAAATATTTCTATTTAACAGTTACTGTGAAATAACTTCTTGATTTGTATCATATAAATTTGTGCTTTTATCCACATTATAATGCCTATTTGTTTCGGTAGCTTCAACTGTGTGTACTACAGCAAACGGCTGAGCATTCGTAGCACACTAGCCCATTGAGTCTCCCTCTGTCTCTACAGAGTAAAAACCATCATCGCCATTATCCAAGGAGAGGACGCTTGGAAAGGCGTTAAGGGATCTAGTCCATTATTTGCACAAGAACGTTACCGATTTTGTTAAGCCTTATTGCGGTGGCATAGCTCATCGTGGAAATCCTTAATGTCATAAATCGGGCCTGGCCCAAAGTATAGTACTGAACAGTTCCTGTCTAGTGCCCTAGGAGATGAGGGGGTCAAATTTGTATGAAGGAGGGGGCGTTGACTAGATTCAAGATGGTAAATGTTTACTAAAGAAGCTATTAATTTTGTCTTTGTATCGCAGACGAAATCGGAGACTGTTGGAAATTGTCTTTAGTTATAAACCAACAATAGTCAATTGATTAACAACACAGGAAAGTAAGGTACAGAGGAAATTTGCTTTATGGGTAACTGTGCGCTTTCACTCTAGTATGTTCCATATGTGCGCATAAGTACGCGCTAGGGGCAATATACTTGAGATGAGTAAGGGAGAGCCCGAGCAGCGAGCACAATGCGGAAGTTCCTATCGCACAGGGTCCTCCAGTGGCAGTGTCGTAGTACGTGATGACCGAGTGGAAATGAGTGTGAGGGGGGTATGAGAAGCGACGGTGTTGGACTTTGCCCTAGACACTATTTAAGTGCACCATTGAATGTTTCCTCTGTACCTTTACTTCTCTGTGTTGTTCCTAGCGCCATAAATTAATTGATATTTTTAAATATATATTGCACAAAAAAAAGATTCATTTCACAAGGGCATGAGAAGAAGTCCCGTAACCATTTTATAAGGCAATTTGAAATGTGTGTTACTAATGCCAGCTACCAAGGGGAGCGAGCTGGTCTAGTGGTAGAGCGCGGTACTTTGGTCCCTATGAGGTGCCAGGTTCAAATCCCGCCAAATCACCAATGGATTTTATCTAATTGATAATGTCACAACCCCTAGATCTAGCCTGAAGTAATGTGATAAACAATTTCGGGCTCATGCCGAGCGTCCTAGGACAACAAAAAATTCCAGCCACCAAAACAGCAATGTGGTATCTGGTGGCATTAAAATTTTGATCCTGTGACATCAGATTAATTCTTGGAGTGTCCAAACAATACGTTGTTAAAAACTATTTGAAAAATTCTCTTCAGCTGTTATCAGCCAAAGATAAAAGATTTGGAGAGTTTTCCTCATTGTCTGTCTCGCCATTGATATATTTTTTTCACTTGCAGTCTCGACTTTGACAGAATTCACTTTTAAAATGATTGATGGCTCTTGAATTGTGTGTTGTTTTGTTTTGACAGAAACAGTCACGTTTACCAAGCCAGGAAATGTGAGAAAGTGCCTCCGATGAGGCAATTTATTTTTTTTATAAATTAGTTTTCAGTGTTAATTGTTTTTGATTTTATTAGGAAATCTTTTAAAAGTAAATTAGTTTTTAAGACGAGAAAAAAATTCTTTGAAACTTAGAAACACAGTAGCTGTTTATAAAGCCTCATCAATTAATTGCCAAGAAAGGTGATTTTGAAAAATAAAGAAGATTTTGAACTACCAGACAAAGAAAACAACATATTATTTACCGGAAAAAATTGCAACAAGTAAATCATTGTCATCAGCAGAAAATGACAGATTTTAAATAAGCTAAAATAGTTATTTTGGATTGAACACTGCGATGACAGACACAACACAGAGTCTCGGCGGGATTTAATTAATCTGACTGTAATACTGGTGACTGTGTGTGTGTAAATACTTTTTCATCACTCTGTATTCGAAAATAGCCCATTTCCATACAGCTGAGATCTTAAAAAATCCTCAATTTACATACACCAAAAACAAATAGTGATCAGCTGACTTCTCCTGGCATTAACATTACTTTCGCTACAACAAAGTTACAATAAACAAAGTTCCCGGATAGCTCAAAAGGAGCGAGCTCCATTGTGTTTTGATTAAAAATACATAACAGAGAAAATTGATTTATTTAAATACAATTTGTATTAACAGAGTTTACAACTTGCATTAATATAATTAAACTAGATTAAAAAGTAAAAAAAAAACACTATTTTAAACATGTAAACAAACCATTGTGATTTATTTGCCTATTTTTTTTCAGTTTGTTGATGTTCAATCAGCTGAATTAACACTAACATTTATTGTACAGCCATATTTTGTTTTGATTAAAAAAAATAATAGATTACGAAATATGAGATAATTTTTTAAAGTTTGATGAAGTAGTTTTTTCATTGTGATAAAAAGTATCATGACGAGTATAACAAAATTCCCATTTCGGGGGATAAGAAGATAAAAAACGCACAATAAGCTGGTGAAATATATGTAGAGTAACACAAACATCCCATTATTTCATAAATTGCACTTCAAGGTTGTAATTCCTGTCTAAAGGTAACTTTTCATACACCTAATGTTAAAAATACCAAATACCTCAGCTGTACTTATTAGTTTGTTATTCTTTCAATTTATTACCTTACCTTATTAAAATCAGGTGTGATTATTTGTTTGTTTGTATTACTGAATTCTGTTTTGTTTATTTCAGCTTAAAAACAATCAAAAGTTTTTTAATACTTATGAGTCAAACGGGGTGAAGCCCGTGGATAACAGCCAGTCTAATATAATGCAAGTTCTTGAGACTGATAAAACACACAATTTTTATACACATTCATATGTTTATTGTTTATTTTGATTCTCTAAATGAAAACAATAATCAAAACATAACCCTTACCATTGCAATAGTCATCGTACTTTATACTTAGAAAAAACTTAATTTTAAGATTGTATCCACTAAAGTTACTGGACACACAAAGCAGCATTACCATATAAACTTTTCAACTATCTAGCAAATAAACTTGAAGTTTCAAATTACGTCTTCATTTATGACAATCCAGAGTTCAATGCCAATGTGATTTGAGTGCCTAGTGTAAGCCCACGTGAGGGTTAACGATATCAATGATTGAAGTACCTGTATCTCAACAACAACAAGGTATGCAGTGTGTTAGGGCTAGTAGCTAACTGTTGTTCTCTTAGGGTGGTTAGTTCAGTTGTTGCTAGTCGACCAAGATGTACAACAGAAAACGCTCAAGATGCGAGACCCAAGAATCTTGCCTGACTCAAGATTCGACTGCCCAACTTATAAGTAAATATCTTTAATATTATACGTTTTTTTTAGAATAGTTAAGATAGATTTTACTGAGTTTGAGTTTTTTTGTAAAGTTTAGAGATAATTTTATGAAACTTGTGTTAGTAAATCAATTGGTTGAAATGTACATCGATTATAATTTTAATCATTAAATTAAGTTTAATTATATCTTTAACCAAAAGAAGGTGTTGAAAAGGTTAATTGAATTGTATTAAGTCTTGTTACCTACTTTTGAACACACTTAATCAGGTAGCAATATTTTTAAAAGTGTAAATATGATAAGAGGTCGTATTCATTAAACCTAATGCATAATACATTGATGAATTTATGAAGCAAAAAGCGTGAATTAATTATTCATTCTAATACACTTTTCTATTTGTTTTTTTCCAAACATCAGTTAAAAAAACTTCAATTTATAGAATCCTTACTTGATTTTCATGATTCTTAATTAATTTCAAGAATAGATAACAATTAAAAACTGTGTCAATAATCGGTGTCAGTTGTGTGTATGTGTTTGTAAATAACAGATTCTTGTGTAATAGGATTTTGGGTTAGCCAAGTTTTCAAAGTTTGAGATTCTTCTTTCTCATCCTTCTTCAAGTACCTACAATGTGATTAAAAGTCATCAATCTTAATCAGATTTAATATTATCATCATCCAAGTAAAGGTCAACATTTTAATAAGAACAAAAAAAAAGAAATGCTTTATGGTAGGTATTATCATTGACTATTGGATACAGAAGTTGTTTTATTAATAGTCAAAGGTATTATACATAAAATTTTGGAAAAATCTAAGAATCTTGACATTTTTAGATTGCCCAAAAATACTTTCTGGTTAATTTTTTCCTGATTTGTTTCCCTGTTATAGACGATCCACCGGCATCATGTGTGGGTGTAAGACATCTGCAAGTTCTTCTTCTGTTCCTATGTATGATGTTTGCTTACATCATCAGGGTAAACATTTCGCTTGCGATTGTTGCCATCACACGAGACCTCGACGACACAGATAACGTGAGTGTGTTTTAGTGCTAATATAGATCAAACATACTTTCTTATAAATTTATCATTTTATGAAGCAGCTGGTATGTTCCTTAGTATCTGAAAGGAAAATACTATCACTAAACAAGTGTTCGAAACGTTTAATACTATTGCTCAGACATAGGCTAATACTTATTGCTCTCACAATGCTGAAAATAGAGTTGAAAGAATGAGTAAGTAACCACAGAGAATTAACGTACAGAGGGAAATAGCTTATAGGATGAACGTACTTCAGTTCTACTATGTTGTGCCGGAAATAATACTTTTGACGAGCAAGGAAGAGCCCGAGCGGCGAGCACTGTGCGGTAATTGTATTGCACAGGGCGCTGGGACTTCCTCCAACGTGAGCGTTGTACTATATGATGGAGAGGGGGGAGATCTTGGACTTTGCGACTGCCGATTAGTGCTAGACGCTGCTTAAGTGTACCATTGAATGTTTCCTCTGTACCTTACTTCTCTGTGGTAATACTTAACTTTCTGACACTATTCTTTTCTCATCGAATCTTCAAGAATAGAAAATTAAAGGCAACAAAAGTGCTTACAAAATTTCATATGGTAACATTTGACCATCCTAAAGGGGTAGCAGAGACAACTGTTTCACACTCCATAGACAAAATAAAGAAACCCAGTAACTTTGTGAACACATTTTTTATAATGATGACTAATTCACTCTCAGGTCTTTTCTCTTTTTGTAGGGTAATGGTGCAATATATGATTGGAGTACTTCCACCAAAAGTGTTATTTTGAGTGCCTTCTTCTGGGGCTACCTTGTGATGAATCTTCCAGCTGCAGTGATTGGGCATAAGGTGAGTTGAAATAAACTTCTGTAACAATGGTATCAAAGTTAATTAGGTGATAGGGAAATAAATTGTATTGGTTAAACAAAGAAGTTTAATGTGCAAATAATTATTCTTTTCCAGTAAATATCAGAGAATTGACAATAGTTATTTGTCTAACTAGTGGGCCAAGTGGCACTTTGCTGAACACGAGAGAAAGCAAAGGCAGTTTGCACTTGTGTTAAAGATTATATTTTTCATACAGTTACTATAAATCATATAAGTAATTAGTCTTTCAAACACTGTACAACACGTTTTGAGTTTAGTTTAAATCCAAACATCGAGTGAAATGGGAAACGCTGCACCAGCTGATCGTAGTCGTAATATCTTTAAGTGCTGCCAACTTATTTTCAAGCGTACACGGATTACGTGCATAATAAAAGCACGCTGTTTGGTGTTGTTTGGTTGGAATACTGGTTTGCGCCAAATTAAAACCTGTGCGCTAAAGTAAAAACTGTGCGCCAAAGTAAGGCTTTATGTACTATAATCTGTGCAAGGAAGCCCACTTTGTCGGGAGACGGTAGGAAAAGACCATTTTTATGTCAACTCTTCTTCTACCAAAGTTAATACCAAAGAAAGAAAACATAGCCTGAGATTCAAAAAACACTCGTTTATCGTGGTTTGAAATATTTATGTCCACTAGGTTTAGTTTCTTGAACAAACTGTTACATAACTCGTCTAATCCCCTTGCTCTGCTTAGGTGAACAACAAACATCTGCTGGGTTGGAGTTTTGCTGTGGCAAGTATACTGAGCATACTGACTCCGCCACTGATGCATCTTGCTCCTAAATACAGCCATGTCATCATGGTGGTGATAAGGATATGTCAAGGACTTTCACAGGTATGAAATATCAACAGATGTTAAACGTCTGTGTTAGGGAAAATGGATTGGAAGAGTAAAATTAATTATTTCAAGCGATTTAGCTGCTTTGAAACAATTAAGTTAACCCTTTTTCACCCAAAGACTTCCAACTTCCAACTTGAGCATAACTCAACAAAACAGCTATAAGATGTACCTTGTAGCAACAAAAGTCAAGCATAGAACTACTTGGGCTATGGGTTAACCAGAACTGTAACTGTATGTCAGTGGACATGAAAAAAATATCATGAAACATACTTTCTAATTCTAGAAGTTGAAAAAGTAGTTTAGTAGGTTGGCTGCTACTGGTATAAGTTTTCTCAATGCATGCGTTAATGCTTTTGAAAGACTTAAAAGATAAAACATAAAAGCTTAATCCTAACAAACGAGATGTGTGCAAGATCCATCAATTTGCTTCTTAACAATGTCAAGTGATGAATGTTATCAACTAATGCAAACAATTACTTTTACTAGGTGCACATAACACACCCCCTTGTGACGTTAACCAAGTCATCTCCAACTATATCTTATCTTGCCATTTCAACAATGTTCCAACAAAAACATTCTTGTCTAACTTGATTCCTCTCATCTTAAAAACTTGCTCTTGGTATCTAAACAAATCTTGTTGATATAAACAATTATTTTAAAGATGTTTAGAGATGTTTGTCACTCAGTAGGTGATTATTCTTTTTTTTTAATTTGCGGCCAAAATCCAAAAGAAGCAGAAAATATATGTGCAAGTTACAAAAATTATTCTATTTTCTTACTTACCGAAAAGCACTTAATGCAACAAAAAGGTTTGATTTTCAACTCGATAATAACAATGAACTTTGATAGAATATGATAGCAAAATTAATATTTTGTTTACTTAACAATGTTATGTTTGTCTACAGGGCTTCATGATGCCAATGGTTCATGGACTTCTATCTCGGTGGGGCCCCCCAAGAGAACGAGCGAGATTCGCTACTTTTGTGTTAGTAGGTGCGTTGTTTGGTCAGAATTTCAAAAGATTTTAACTTGGAAGTCAGAAAACACATTGTAGTTACCTGTAAAACAACACTTGAGTAATTTACCTGTCAGACTTCACAATCAGAATGTATCTAAGTGGATAAATAATAGAATTTTTTTGTACATGTCTTTATTCTGACTTTTTAAAGTTTTATCACATAATATGAACCTAATGAGACAAAGTTAAAACCACAGACTGGAAACCGTGATATTGTTAGGGTTATTCTGTAGTTTGAAGCACATATATGTTAACTAATCTTACACATCTTAGTTATGAGATGTTTATTATAACTTTCATCCAGGTCTCAACTTTGGTTCGATGCTCGTGTTGGCGTGTTCTGGATTGCTCGCGTCCACTCCATGGGGCTGGCCGAGCATATTTTATTTCTCCGGAGGTCTCGGCTTAGTTTGGGTAAATATCGGCCTCTCACTATTATTTTTTTATTTATAAATCCCATACTGTAACATTAGTGCAGTGCGTTTCTTGATGCTTGATAGATTAGCCTGAGGCGTCTTCCTGATCTCTACTGCAAATATATTTTATACTGTTGCTAAATGTTACTAGGTGGTAAATTCAGCACAATATTGCACCTCGTGTAAATTGTATCCTTCCTTAACTTTGCAAATTCATGATTTAATACTGCTGCTTTATATAACAGGGCTTTAGTGATAATGTAGATTCAATTTACACTCAAAGAAGTAAGGTGTACAGTGAAAACTTGATTATGAGACGACCGTGCGCTTTCAGCTCTAGTTTGTTGAGCAGGAAATATACTTGTGACAATCAAGGAAGAGCTCAAGCGGCGAGCATTGCACATAAATTCCTATCACCCAGGGCACAGGCTCTTCCTCCACCGTGAGCGTTGTATTTTATGGGGATGAGAGTCGATGTTGGAATTTGCCCTAGACACCAGCGACTAGTGTTAGACACCACTTAAGTGTACAATTGAATATTTCCTCTGTTCCTTTCTTCTCTGTGGTGTCATTGACTATTAGATACTGAAGTCAAAGGTGGTGTACAGTAAAAATGATCAACTGGATCATTTAGGACCAGACCCAATATGGATAGTTAGAAATCTAGACAAAATTACATTTTTCAGGAAAAAAGCAAGAAAGTTGCACTAGGTAGATGACACAACATTAAAACTGAATTATTCTGGCCAAATTATTTTTTTCTTCCTATGGTGATTAGGATAGTTCTGACGATTGAAGTTCAGGTGATTGGAGTTCTACTACTGTACTCAGTGTAGTTTGATTCATTAGGCTTATTAAACAAAATCCATGCAATTAAAGTCAATATAAAGGTAATCAAAATTATTTTCAGGTGATACTATGGATGCTGTTAGGTGGCAATAGTCCTGAGTCTCATAGTTTTATCTCCGATGAAGAGCGAGACTACATCCTTAAATCCCTCCCGGGAACAGCACGAGAGGGAGTTGTAAGTGTATTGTTTACTACTGTATCCTTTTAGATGAACATTGAACAGTACAAAGATATGTCAGTCAGGTGATAAAGAATAAAAGATTGTGGAAGAATAATGACTTGTCTGTAAAACAATTACAGGTGATAGGAAGACAGTCAAATTTACATAATAAATGCTTCTATCTTTTAGACACAATCCTGCCAATACTGTGGCATGCCTTACATTTCCTAGGCTACCTATAGATAAGTCATAATGGATTTTTGTAGGTCTATTGGTTAGAGTAGGAGATTAGTTCAGGAGGCGTGGGATCAAATCCCATCAACCACTGATGGTTTTTAGCATTGTGGTGATGAAATGACACCATCTTTTAAAAAAACATAAAGTGTTTCAGGGGAGGAGAATATTTTCTGTTATATAGAACTCCCTCCACTATGTGATAATTAAATTTCTTCTCATCTCTGCATGTACTGTAGCAGACTAAATATAATATTACCCAAGACTATGCTGGTAACACCTAAAAATTAAATTTAAAGCTTTATTGTTTTTGTGTGTGTACCACAAAATCCTCTCAGGGTGCTGCTATGTTGTTTCACTAACTTTATAAAGTTAAAGATGGAATCATACAGATTTAAAAATTGTTTTTAGTTGTAAACTAGAACAAAATAGAGGCTCAGTGCACGGTAGATACTAAGGGATAAAAATTGTTTCAGTCGAGTCAGATGGTGATTCCCTGGAAGCAAATATGGAAGAGTGGTCCTGTGTGGGCAGTGACTCTGGCCCACATGGGGCAGAACTGGGGCGTGTGGACGATACTGACTGAGATACCTACGTACTTCAGTGAGGCGCTCGACGTAAACCTGCAGAATGTAAGTACAATCTCAAACTCAACCTTATGTTCAACCATGGCTGTACAGCTTTGGCAAGCCCCGGTAAAGATATTAGGCTGGGCCCTCTCCCCTTGAAGTATATGTTTGGCGGGGCCGGCCTGGTAAAAATGTCCGGAAAAGTAGTATCAATTATTTACTCTCTGATTAAAAATAAAAGCTCCTTGATTTTAATAGTTACTCATTCAAAAGCATACTAACTCGATTGTTAATGTTTCCAGGATGGTCTGATAACGGCATTCCCCTTCCTACTAATGTGGATCGTCTCCTTCCCTCTCTCCTACTTAGCCGACCAGTTGATCATCAGGGGATACACGTCCGTCACTGCGTCCAGGAAAATATGGAACTCTGTGGGTTAGTACTTTTGTTAGTCTCTTCTAACCAATGAGAAATAAAGTATAGAGGAGGGACTCCTCATATACTCCTCATAAACTCCTCTGCTCATGGAAAGACCGTGCGGTTTCAGCTGTAGTTTGTTGTGCCGGAAATATACTTGAGATGAGACAGGAAGAGCCCAAGCTGCGAGCACTGTGCGGAAATTCGTAGTGTACAGGGCACAGGGTGTTCCTTCACCATGAGCGTTGTAGTACATAAGGGTTATGGGAGCGATTTTGGACTTTGCCCAAGACACCTGTGACTAGTGAAATACACAACTTAAGTGTACCATTAAATGTTTCCTATTTACCTTACTTTTCTCTGGACCTGCTTATTCTTTGGCTAAGATCTCGTAAAGACAATAATTTCTATCCATGCTATATTAGCTGAGGAGCCAACCATGTATTTAAAGCTCGATGATCAGCAATGGACAGTATCTGAATTTTATGAGGGGCGAAATCTCCTGATAAAGGTCTGCTCTAAAGCAGGTGGATTTAAAAAATAAGATTTTTTGGGTATGACTGAATTACAGAGAACTATTCAATGTCTCATTGATAATTGAGATACAAACTCTAAGACTAAAAAGATCTATAAGTTCTTTAAGTTTTTTTGTACTCTCTCTGATAAAATTATAACAATAACCATTCTTTATTTAGATAAACTGACCATTTCTTTTTGCTTTTATAATAATATCTTATTTTTGTGGTAAAACTGTTGAAAACGATTTATCATTACTTATCAACCTTGTTTCAACTATGGAATCAGGATTAAAATAGGACAGCAAGTCGAATTAAAACAACAAGAACCAAGTTTAGAATTTCAGTAAACTCGAAGCTACTCATCTCACTTGAAAAACAAAAAACCATCCTGTATTTCTATATAGATAATTTTCAATCTTGATGGTCTTGTTATTGTAAACGATAATAAAGGACTCACTGTTAAAATTAACTTACAGCTCACTGGGGTGGAGGGGCCGCACTGTTAGGAATGGCGTTTGCAGGGAAGAACTCAACGCTTGCGTTCACCCTGTACACAATATCCATCACCCTCAACTGCTGCGTTTACATGGGTTTCAACGTCAACCATCTCGACCTCTCGCCCAACTTCGCTCGTATCTTGATGGGTATCAGCAACGGCTCGGCAAACATTACGGCCATCATCGCCCCACTCTTTGTGGGAGCCGTCATCAAAGATGAGGTAACAATTGACTATGGGTACAGAAGTAATGGTTTGAGTTGTTCGGTACTTGTTTAGTATTAAGACGGGAGGAGGTAAACTGCTCCCCTTGGCTGGTGCGCCAGTGAGGCCGTGGTGTGAAATGTTTGCTTTGACTGTACTCTTTCTTACCTGACCTAATCCCGACGTTCTTTGTGAAACTGAAGTAATAATTTTCACAAACCTAATGACTACATTAACTAGGACTGAGAGTTAGGGAATTGTTTATGCGAAATGTTTATGTTTAAGTTTATGTTTGTTTACGTTTATCACATTCATATCTATAAAGACCCATGTGACAACATCTTCTGTATTCAATCACACATTTTGTATCGTGTGATCTCGCTTTAGAACAAGTTTATTTTTAAACCTAGTAATAAAATATACAGCTAATTAAAATGTTTGTTACAGTCGAAAATTGACAACTGGAGGATTGTGTTCGTCTGTTCGGCTTTCGCTTTCTTCCTGGCCAACGCAGTGTTCCTGTACTTGGGTTCCGGAGAGCTTCAACCATGGAATGACACGGACTCTGGTGCAAGTTTGGATCCTGGTGAGTATATTATGCAACCAGATTTATTTTCTTAATTTTCCTATAGTGACAAGCAAACAAATGAAAGGGGTTTAGCAAAAATTCTTTGACATATGAATCAAGAGTAGGGTTCTATAGTTCGGCCGCTTAGAAAATGACCTGCGCGCTAATGCTAAGCCAATGCTGTAGGAAATCGCTTTCTAAGCGGCCGAACTATAGTTCTCGAACATTTGTAATCTAAAATAAATGTTATGTTAAAATAATATGCAAATAATATGTAAAAAAAAAACAATTACTATTTGCAAAACTACACTGTTTTAACAAACTTTCCACGCAAGAGTTTAGTTCTGAAAACAGCTGTTTGCTACTTAATGAAATGGGGTTTGATTATGTACTGTATGGTAATAAGCTTTTACCATAGACAAAAAGAGTTAAATATAGACCGTCAGCTGTGTTGCGGTTACCATTGGTTCTGGCGCACACCGCTGGGATCGCCACGGTAGTTACAGCGTACGCGCTACGTAAACTACAGCGGTGTGCGCCGGAACTTTGTGAGGTACCAAATTTTAAGGGGGGTAAAAACGTATTGCTAGCCAACAAACACCATAACTTACCCGATTTTTACCCACAACATCCTACTCCTAGGCCTATGTGTTGGCCATAGCTTGGGCTATGGGCCAAAGAACGTAGGCCTACTTTTAATAACAGTGAAGTACACAAACACACCCACAACGATATATTTATTCATGATAGCACTTCGTTTCACATAATAAAGTTAAAACGACCGATTTTACGAATATTTAACGCCGATGACAACATCACTTAACCTCGAAATGGTGTTTGTTGACCAACGACAGACGACAACTAGACCGGCTCAACAGGTGAATTTCCGATCAGCTGTTGGCTAGTTCTCAAACTCACCACCAGAGCGATTAAGCCTCGACCGAGGAAATCATGATTTGAGTCGGACAAGAAAGAATTATTCGCTGTTCGACCGTCGACTCGTTAACGAGAAGCCTCTTCGCACAACGAAACTAACTTCGTCATACGATATCGATTCAGGTTAGCTACGTTTTCAGACTTTCCTACTTTCTTTTAAATATTCTTTTTCCAACATACGCATACTCGTCTGCCATTTATTTTATCCGTTTACGTTCGATTAAAATTTTCTAAATTTTATTAACTTAGTTCTTGCCGACTCGTACAAAACCCGCCAGTTCCTGCCTGCCAGTGACTAGCGGTGGATATTTTTCGGCTCTTTTAAACCAATTGGCTATTAAATTACGTTAATTCGGTTCGTTTCACGATTAAATTTTTACTTAAGTTACTCCAGTTAATTCGACGTTTTAATACCCCGAGACTCGTCGTCTGAGTTCTAAACCCCGTCTTTGGCGGGTGAAAGAATCGAGTCTTGGGAGCAGGCTGAGTTGAATAATCAGCTACAAAAATTAGTATTAAATTTATTTTAAACCACTCACGTTAAATTATCCGTCCAATTATATTAATTAGGCCCCGACGACTCTGTAGGAATTGCTTTTTACATTAGATTCGATTTTATTATCCACCACCGTCTTTAGCCAGATAGTTTACAGTTTAATACGAGTATTTATATCACATTGGCTTAAGATTGAATACTCGTCGGCCCTACAGAGTCATTCTAAAAGTTAGGCAAAATTCTCCAAAACACGTTAGCGAAGGTGAGGATGAAATAGCTCCTACTGAGCGTCTGCAGGATTTCCTGAGCGCTTCTAGAGCTCTGAGCCTTCGATTAAATTTTAAATAAATTGATCAGTCAAAGCCGTGACACCTTCGTATCGACCCCTGGATTTTTCTCGGCTCCTTCTGAGCACTCCGGGGAAGAAATTTGAGTGTGGCCGGTTCTAGGGGTAGGCCTAGCCTGACTTGGTGAATACTAGTTTATTCCCCCCCTAGAATTTTGCGTCACAACTTATGGTAACCATGGTAACCGCAGCACGGCTGACGGTCTATATTTAACTCTTTTTGTCTATGCTTTTACCGGACACCAGCTTATTATATTTGGCAATGAATGGTTTTAATCAAAAACATAACATCTCTTTACGAGTAGTGATTGTTCGTCCTTTAGTCACTGGGAATAGGATTCGTACACTTTTTTATTGTTAGGTTAAGAGCAGTATGGCAAAAATATCTTATGTCACTCGTCCAAAATATGTTTACCGAACTCGTATGTTAATCTTGCATTAAATTTTATTAACGAGTCATTCTATTTCAGAATCCAAAAGTCGACACAGAACTGACAAGAAAAGCTCTAAGGAAGAAAAGATCTGAATAAAATGATTTGAAGATAATCGAGGAGTAAAATACCCTTAGGTCAAATTTGAGGAGAAACTTTCATTTGGGAAGTATGAATCTGTACCGAGAAACTATCAATTTTTAAATGTAGTTTTAGCAAACGGCATTCAAAAGAAATATTTTCTCTTGAATCATATTGGGGTCGGTTCAAGAGTTAACATGAGTAAGTAAAACCCAGATATACAAATGCCATTGCCATGTACTGTTTACGTTTCAGAAGTAATGTTTTTTAAAAGAGTTCATTGAAGTTATGACATCTGGATATCAAGTATTGTTGTATGATACAACATGTGGTATTTTCAATAGTAAGCTTATTTTAATTGTATCTAGACCATATATACTTAAGAAAAACTCTCTAGCTAAATGTTCTATTACTTCTAATACTACTGAACTTTTAAAAACTCAAACCTATTCAAAAGAATTGTTCATGATGGAACAAAAATGAGAAGAGGGGTAAGCAAGAATTGCTCTCACAGTGTTATTCAAGTTACTAGATTTACTAGATTTGTGCTTGTTTCTTTTTACAAACCACTTTATTAAACTATGGATGTATAAATGTTGTAAATAGAATTTTTTAATAAAGAAATTGTGTATTTAATGTTGGTTACATATTTCTTAATTTACTATTAAGCTTTAATTTAAGCATTTTATAGGCTTACACTTTATCCTTATCAAATAATCCAATACACCTATAAGGTGGAGCTCAAGAAATAGTACGGTATATTTCATTAATAGTACCGAGTGGCATTTTCTGGCAAAACTGGCTAAAGAAATGCATAATTTCTGTTCACATTGGTATTGTTGAACAACAAACAGCAGATTTCATAAATAGAATTACAGTAAATTTTTAATATACACTAGTGCGCCTAGTGGACAAATAAAGAACTAATATGATTGATAACAAGTAAAGGAAATTTAGAGCAAGGGGAAATCAGCTGTTCATTACTCCCTTGATCTAAATAAGAGCTTGGGAAACAATTGCTTTCAATTATATCAGCTGATATAAAAAAAAACAGCTGCTTTCCATAAAGAGTCATACAGGAAGCGGAAAAATAAAACTTTAAATATAAATGTCACAAGTATATTTTATTATGTTAACAATTATAACAATGAATGTACACTTTTTACAAAACTATGAAAATGTACACTTATGATGTACAAATTTACAAACTTACAAAGTTAGGTAAGGCATACTAAGACTGAGAATCATATTTTTTTACAACAATATATAACATAATGTAAAAGACAACCAACATTAACGTGAATTTAACTATGAAAAAACATGTAAAAAATTGTGAAAACAGTCAGTTTTATTAATGATTAAAAAATTGAAAGATTAAGGTACACATAATAACATTCTTCTATATCTAAAGATAAATCATAACAGTCAATATATTTAACACTTACTGACTTTCAAGCAAAATCAAAATGTCAAATCAGAACAAATACAGTAATTCTCTCTTTAGTTAGTAAAATTAAAATATTGTGTATCCTAAAAAGGAATAAGTCATGGTTAAAAAACAGAGGTTCCTTTAGTTAACAATAATTTAATACTTCATTAAACTCATAAATTTCTTGAACCTCTTCTTCAAGTGTTTTTATTGCACTTCAATAAAATATCAATCTTTAAAACAACGTAAATTGTCAATATTACAATTAACTACTTACAATATATTTAAAACTATAACAATATTGTCACAATCCCATACAAAATGTACAAAACTACCTAAAAATATATCACAGACACATACACAGTATATAAAATTAATAAAACCATTGAGTAAATGAGAGTATTTATAAAACTTAAAACAGTTATTCACACACTAGCAACCTGATAGAAAAAATTTTAATTCTTTTCAAAATCATAAAGGTAGTTCCAAACACTTATAATCAAAACTAATACTGTACTAAATTAGCTGCCCTGTTGTTAATACATTATTTTTAGATAAAAATTATAACCATCCAAGCTGCCAAAAACAAATTTTAGTCATGGGTCTAAAAAGGTCGGTCGAGAGTTAAAAAGTATTTTTTGTTCATAACATTAACATGTTTTAACACAACTATATATAACATTTTGAGTACTTTTGAGATTTTCCTTTGATTTTATCTTACTTTTTATTAAGCTTTTTCATCTCTTGACTTATGAATGGATTCACAATTAAACATCAGATAATGAATCGCTTTCAATGGCTGTAAAAAAAATGATTGTCAAGAGTACAATTATTATTTCATTTGATACTTATGGCTTAGACAGACAGCCCCAAAATATGACTTGATGATAAATTTACTAAATTCTACACTTTTCTTGTCCTCCGGATTTGTTGTTATCTTGGACAAAACGTGAAGTATGGGAACAAGAAGCAATGAAGCGATAAAAATCTTGTAGGGTCAATTCTGTTGTCGAATCCGTCGATTTTGACAACGTTGATCTCGTCTTTGCTGTACTTGGAATAGCTGAATGTTATCTGGAACAAAAACATTAATTTTAGACTAACCCTTATAAACATTGATAATTACCAGTGGCCTTATTGAAAAGTAATTAATAGTCACATGTTAGAGTCATTTTCACTATACTTTGTTGACACTTAAATTTCCTTTGCTTAATACAGGGCGTTTATAAAAGAATCATCAGGTTTTAATGGTGTTTACCTCACCCAATTCATGTCCCACATTAATACGGTATTTGAAACATGTGCTTTTAATAAGCATGTTTCCAAGTTTTATAATCAGCTGTTCAATAACAAGTCTTGGTTTTTTTCTTGGACGTGTTTGAGTCATTTTCAAAATAATTGAAATTCCAGAAAAAAACATTTTGTGTTTTTCATTATGACTCAAGTTTATCTTTAATGACTGCCTAGCGTGAGTTTCGGGGGCATTTTAGACAGACTCCTCCTACACAACAAAGCATTTTAAGGTGGTATCGAGTTTAAGAACTCTGGAAGTGTATTAAAAAGTCAAATCAGTGGCCGCGCAAGAGTTCTCTTAAAAACTGAGGTGGATTGGCAAATGTAACGATAATGACATTACCCTTCTCAAATGCCCCCCTAGATCCCCTGATCTTTCGGTGTGTGATTTTTTCCCATGGGGCTATGTAAAAGACAAAGTTTATATACCCCCAATGCCTCAAACACTTCAAGAGCTCCGTGGACGAATTCGCAATGCCATGTAGAATCAATCAACCTAGCGATGCTAGCCAGGGTATAGGACAATTTACAGCATAGATTGGAAACTTGCTCCACAGATAATGGAAGGCACATTGACAAGTTGTAGGGGTATCTATGAAAAATTTAAGAGTTCTCCTTAATGTTGATATGTTTTATAACCGTATTTGTTTAACATTAGCATCAATAAAATGTTTTTAAAACCTGATGATTCTTTTATAAACGCCCTGTATTATTTCTGATTTTTCAAATGCAAGTGTGTGTGGCACCATTTGTGAGTTGACTTTTCAGCTCCAGTTATACACAGAGAATAAAGGTACAGAGGAATCTTGCTTATAGGACGACCATCCACTTTCAGCTCAAGTATGTTGTGTCAGAAATTTATTTGTGACGAGCAAGGAAGAGCTTAAGTGGCGAGCACTGAGTGGAAATTCCTATCACACAGGGCACAGTGTCTTCCTCCACCGTGAGCGTTGTTAGTACATTATGACAATGGGGGTGTTGTTGGACTTATCCCTAGACACCACCAGTGACTTGTGCTAGACACCACTTAAGTGAACCATTAAACGTTTCCTCTGTACCTCAATTCTTTCAAGTTATTCATGTTTAACATGCAGTTAGAGGACTTACTGCTTGCTTTACAATAACAATTACATGGTTTGGTTTCCAATTATATTCTTAGGTAAAAAAATTCTTCACTGAGAACCAGTTAATTTACAAACCAGCTCCAAAGTCCTTATTTAGCTATTTTCCAATAGGTTTTTCATATGCAGTGGGAGTGAATTAAGAATTTTGCAGCTAATACACAATGGTATCTTAATGAATTTTGTGGTGTGCTGGATGGAAGGCTGTAGTCTCTAGCTCCTCTAAAATGGCAGTTGTAAAAACTCTGATTCCTAGGAAGATTTAGCTAGCTCGTGTGCATTACTTGTTCTGTTTTGAAAAAACATTGGCCACAAAAATCAGGGATCCACATCAAAGCACTCTATCTGAGCAATTTAACAACTACAGTAGACTCCCTCTTATCCGGACTCCTCGGGACCGAGGCCAGTCCGGATAACGGTTTTTCCGGTTAAACCGACGTCCCCAAAATAAAATGGACCGTTTACTGTGATATTCGACTTAAATTTAGGAGAGCATTGTATTTAGACACGTGGTCACTGGTCTCAAATCTTTCCCACGAGAACACAGTCGTTTCAGTACCGCCCACTTCCTGCCGATCTAGTCCGGTTAAACCAATGTGCTGATAAAAATTGTCCGGTTTAAGAGATGTCATTTCCGCCGAGGGTAGTCAGGTTAAACGGATGTCCGGTTAAAAGGTGTCCGGATAAGAGGGAGTCTACTGTATACTAAATTTGATAAAACTAGTAACAACTTTAACAAGGAAATGGAATGTCTGGTTCTATCCAAAGTCTGTATTGTATTGTTTGGTGTATTGTACCTGGTCGTGGAAGGTGTCCTGACGCAGGAACTTCATCGGCTCCAAGTGAGAGTGGAACTGATCTACGACTGTCAGTGGCTTCCTCAGCAAATGTTCTGCAACAAAGCAACATTATTGGTCAAACAATCAGCTACAAACAGAAGATACTGTAGTGTCAGAGACATGGCCCCCACAAGGGTGGGGCTGGCGCAACTCTAGTCACAGGGCCCGGGCCCTCAGGGGGCCCGGGCCTACCCATTTGTTTTTTATTTTTTTCCCCATTGAAGATCACTTTACAGCTCATAAATTGAAGATAAAAAAATAATATTTAAATATTTTACAAAAAACAAAGTTAAATAATTTAAAATGTATTAATTCTTGATTCTAAGGAAGTTTATATTTAAATTCTATAGGTGCGTAGGTGCGTATGTACTATACAACAGCAGAACAGCCAGCTCGGGCCCCAGTGGCCGGCTCCACAAACTCCCTCTACCCCTTCCTCCCGCCAGGCGCCTAGCCACTCCTACCTCATTCCCCCCATAATAAACAAAGTTTGGTTTTATAATTGAACTGATAGTTTCAAGAATGAATCCTTATAGTTATAAGTTAAAATAAAATTTGTAAAGCATTGAAAAATTGACATGTACTATGTACCATAGCTAAGGTGACCAGACGTCCCGTTTTAGGGGGACTGGTCCGTCCCGACAAATCCTCTCGGGACGCTTATTTGTCCTGTTTTATCAACATTTGGTCCCGGTTGCACTTTTATGTATGGAATATTTCAATTAATAATTATTGCAATCTAGGTTATTTGACACAAACTTAAAAATTCTTTACTTTTGGAGTTTTAAAAATATGAAAGATTGTAGGCCTAATAATTTTGACCTAAGTTTTCTTCCCAATTTGCTCGGTATAATACTGTACTAAAGCATGGATTGGATAGCATCGGTCATTCTCGGCATTACTCGTGCACATTTGTTTTTCTCCGTGACTACTCGGCGCAAGTTCGGCAGCTCAGGCATCCACTCCCAAAAAATGTAGTATTGTTAAAATTCTTGATGAAAATTGTCACTGAATAAAATATGATTTCATTGGTGTAAGCTGTTAAACTCAATTTACGTAAGTTTTTTCCTACTCCATATTACAAAGTACAATAATAGCAGTTAAGATAGCCAAACCCTCTTACAGGGAAATAAAAAGGACAAAATATTAATAGGCATGGAGCTTTTGTGTATTGATATAATAGTTTTAATTGCTGAATTCCTGTAATTTTAAGTCTTATAACACTCATTGAAGAACTCTTTTCTTCCTTAAAAAAGGCTGCAAAAGTGCCATTTACCACTCACAAATTTAATACCTAGATTGCCTTAAAAACTCACTAAAATACATGACATTTTCAAAATTTTCCCGGGGGGGGACCCCCGGACCCCCCCTCTACGCTGGGGGGTATTCCATACCCCCCCGACCCCCCGGTTGGTAGGGGGGCCCGAGCCAGATCCTGGTAACAGGGCCCACAATTAAATGTGGGGGCCATGGTCAGAGAATGTAGGAATTAATTAAAAGAATATTACTTTACTATATATATATATATATATAATATATAGAACAAAAATTAGGATTTTGGACTGCTTTACCTTACATGAAGTCAGCTCAAAAAGTATTTTGCGTTTCTCACCTTACGTAACACATTTGTTGAGGTATACAAATGCACTTTTTTTTAATCTTCAATCTCTTTGAGCAAATTCCTTCATTTGACAGTGAAAACTTCTAAATAATTTTAAAATATCGGGAAAACAAATGTTTGTAGAAAAAAAATCAAGCTTATGCCATGCATTATTGATATAATGATACTACGTTACGAATACATCATTATGCATAACAATGTTAAGCTTACCTATGATGTAGCCCATCGTGACATCATCAGGGAGACGAATCTTCTCACCAATACTCATAAACTTGCCATCTCTGAAAAAAATACACAATTGGAATCAAAAACCATAAATGTTACAGTTAATTGATATACAAATAACTATGGAGAAAAATGTCTTGTGTCTGCTGTACTCAACGGGTCAATTACGTCACAAACAATTAATCAACTAAAATGTATTTGTTCAATGTACGGATTTGAAAATAAGTTCCAAATTGAGTCTTAAATACAGTAGGTCTAAACCATGTCGAAACAGTCCTTGTATTACTCAAATCTTTACCAAAACGCCAAGATGAATTTAGACTCCTCAAGTAATTTACCCACTGAATTACCACTTAACAAGACACAGTGTGTGTCGAAGAAGCCATTAAGTGCCTAATGGAGTGATTATAGACGAAACACTCAAAAGACAGTAAATATTTATTCAACGCTGGCCCGGTAGTCAGCTGGAATTGTGTGAATGTAGTCGACAGATGCGAGGAATGTTAATGCGCTCAGCTGATTTATCATCAGCTGTTTAGTCAAAACTCCCGCCACTTCATCACTTGGCGTAGCTGCTTTCCGAAACATAACCTCAAATTTGTGTTTTCTTCTGATTTATCTCTTTACGGTTAGAAATTGGATGATGGATCATAATGTAACAGTGCTTCAAATGGAATTTAGCTTGGGAAAGGGTTTGATTGATAAAATTGATAAACCTTCTAACGATTTAGCCTAAAACATGGAGATGAAAAGGAAGATTAGAAGGAATGGATCTATGACTTTAACTGTAAGATTTCGTCAAATGAATCTCGATCGTGATTCAAGCAATTAACAGTTATAGACAAAAAATACCAGACGTAAAATCAAATTTAATTTACATTCCAACGACCCGACTGAGTACAAACGTTCCTACTAAAAGAATGTTCAATGGCGAACAAGAAAACGATCCGAAGAAAAGGTTAATTAGAATTGATGCGGGCAAAGGCAGTCTTCGACAGCCGTGAGTATTTTAATGGTCCGTGGAAGATATTTGGAGGCCTGTGACCGTTCTAATGAGGAGATCCCGCCACTGATAGAGCGGACCAGATTATTGATAGGAGCCATCTATAGAATGTCCGTTTCGAAGGACCATTTTACTTTCGATTTCTGAGTAGTTGAAACTTTTCGTTTCAAAAATGTGTTGGTTGCTTTTGTTCGTGGAAAAGAAAGAAAAAATTTCAAATCTCTGAAAAGTGTTGATTAAAACGTAGTTTATTTGATTGATGATTACAACTATGTGAAAAGGGAAACCCTGATGTACTCTTGCATAATAGGGTTAACTTTAGAAACTGATAGTAGCTCGTATTACCTATTGAAAAATCTGCAGCTGTTTTATTTGTGTTTCATGTAAGAGCGATACGTCCACGAAAGGATTTCCCCTTACATAAAAGAAGACTTTAGAGTATGCGTCATGTTTGGTTTCAATACTAGAGGAAAACCTAGTGTTTTAATATATGGATTTAGTTAAAAATCTTAAAGTTGGTAAAACAACAAGAAATAATTAGTAGACTCAAAATGCACTCTACACCATACATAATTCTTAAAGTTGTATTCAGCATAAAGATGGTAACTCTAAAATTGAGGGTGTGAAGTATTTCCCATGTTTAAGTCAAACTAAGTAAATGCCACGAGAGTTGTCACCAATAAAATTGATGAGTTGAACTATTTTAAAAAATTTCATAATAAAATCTACTTTCATCCTGCACCAGAAGAACGAACTATCTTTGATAATATTACTATATTAATTTTAAAAATTGCTAGCCAATACAGTACCAAGTTTAGATTAAATAATTAAGAGTTTGTTTTCGTAAAAAAATGTTAACGTAACCCCTAAAAATCATACACAAACTATCTAAGAAAAATCACAGTGACCAAAATATATACCACGTTAAGTATACAAACTCTACGCTAACTGCTCATGCGCTGTGCGCGTGACGTCATCTTATCAGTCGCGATCAGCTGATCTGATAGCAACGGCGCGCGGACACACTAAGACTTGTTAGGTTAGGTCGAGCCTGTTAATGAGGTTCATTAGTAGTTTGACTTTATGTCTGCCCGAGGTGATCGGAAGTAACTAAGTCGTGATTCGTTGACATGACTCTACCTCGGTGGCCAAGCGATATGAACAGCTATCGTCAAATATATCGTGTCCACGATTGATACTGGGTTCAACGAATAGAGTCGTGGACAGTGTTTTATGTATAGGCAAAGCCGAGATCAAAATGTGATTGGAAATACACTGCAATATGGACATGCTGTAGCATAGCTGTAATAAACCTCTTTTCACAAAATATTTCTGAATGGTTAAAAATACTACGTGATATAAAATAATTTTTAATTACCTAGTGTAATAATTCTGGTGTATTAGATCCACCAGACAACGATTCAAGAGTTTGACTAAATCGAATTGAATCGAAGCGATGAATTGAATCGAAATTGAATTGAACTGCATATGGGGAAAACTGCTAAACATTGGAACACAGCTGGGTTTGGAAAAATCAAATGCTACAGAAAACCCCACGCAAACCGTAATCCAGAATTTTTAATTTTGACTCCATTCAATACTTTTCTAGGGCTTCAATAATTTTATCTTTCTTAAACAAGAAATGTAGGTACTGTACGTACGTTTCTTGCACATGGAAGAGAACGCTAAACTGAATAATTGATACTGACCATTCCAAGTACACGAACATTGAGCAAACCCGACGACTTTCAAAAACATTAAAATTCGAAACAGCTTCCGACTAAAATCTCTTTCGATCAACTGCCATCCGTGACAAGCGGTCTAGCAGTTTGTCCATATTGACGACCGCTCCTGTCACTTTTCCCGCCAGTTTGCTCGTTTCGGCGGGTACATGGGTAAAGGGATCAGCTGTCAATTAGTGCTGGACATTCCGAAAAGCGTTGCCAACCTTCGAGAACCGATACCGAAATAAACCAGTCGCTGGACGGCGAATTATATCTTCTGCTTTCACCACTCGTTTCGCTGTCGTCGCTTTTTGCTCGGACAAGACAGGTGGTTGTAGGAATTGATCACTTAGGCCGTCGACACACGGGAAGACTGTTTTCCAACTGAAATCGGCAACCAGTTGGACAAACTAGTCGCCAGCGTCCCGACCAATGTAGTTAGGTGGGACAGTGCACACGGGGCGACTGCGATGCGACCAGTTGAGGACCAGTCGGCGATCAGTCGTTAAGCAACCGGACCTGCCGGTTGCTAGGTGATTTCAGTCGCCTGGTTTGAACAACTTTTCGCATATTTGTATTGCGCTTTTTTCAAGGATCAGGTATACCAACTGCGATAACTCTTCGTAAGCACTTTTTGACATCCTGTACATAGACTGAAATATTTCGTCTGTTTCTTGTAATGCAGCAGCAGCTACAAAGAGCCTACATTAAATATTTGTTTTAACATAAGGATGTACCCAACACCTTCTACTCTACGCTTTCTTGATTGTTTATAAAACACCAGGGCTTTTTCATCTCTATTACTCATTTCAAACACCATACACAGTAGGCCTACAGAGTATCGTTATAACAAAATTAGAGCTCATTCACTGTCTCAACTCAATTATAGTCGCGCCCGTGTGCGGATGTAACCAACGCAACTGCAACCGTAATCGCGTCACAAAACAGTTGGTTCAACTTTAGTTGGGTTTCAGTCTTCCCGTGTGTCGACCGCCTTACAAGCGCGCCCTTTGAGATCAGGCAAAACGAAAATGACCGAGTACGAGCGTGTTCTGTTTTATGTAGCTCAGCCTTCAGCCTTCAACCCCGCCCGCTCGGAGACAGCGCGAGTTGTAGCTGCAGGTTCTGAAGTAGTGTCACGGAGAACACAAAATATATACATATATATATTCAATTACTTATCGTTTTAATAGAGGGAGTAGAGCGTCTGACTTTTTATTCTGGGGTAAACGTAAGAAAAAGCAGATAGGTACAATGAACTTAACGAATACACTAAATAACACATATTTAGTCCAACAAAATAATAAACCTGGTAGAAAACAACTTGTAAAACTTGTTGTTGTTGGGGAGGGGGGGGGGTTAATGGTTAATCAAACTTTGCTTTAAAAACTGAACATAGCATAATGCATTCGTAAATGTCTTTTGCATTAAACTAATTGACTACTGAATAGACAGTTTGTTCGACTCGATTAAACTAAGATAACGACGTATATTTCTTGAACGGCTAAATTACGCAAAGTATCACGACACAAGACAGCCCAAAGCGCACTTGCTGCTCGGGACGATTCGTTACCAAGGAATACATTAGTTCCAGCGATTTAGACGTTCCGCCTTGCAGAGCACTGCGCACCTGCCCTGGCGACCAGCGATTTTCAACCTTCCGCCCGGCCGCCGACGGCATACAATCGCCCGCGCTAAATCAGCGCGACAAAAAGTGCGACCGTGATAAACCCGCATCAAGTATTCAATTAAAATACCCGGAGACCCAATTATGAAGGTCCGAACACTAATGAGGGCCCGGGCAAGCTCCCAATTAGAGAATTCTCCCCGTTCCAATCCTTATGTGGCTTTTTCAACCTGATTAGCGTAGCTTGGTCGGTTCAAAAACAGATAAATTAATGCCCCAGCTACCCCCCCCCCCCACTTACAGATGTCAATAGCCTTGAATTTTTCCAAAGGGAAAACCAAGTTTGCGGTAGGTAAACGGTTTGAGACTACTAAAACGTGTATCGTAGTAGAAAAGGATTTACGTGTTAAAGCCCTATAAAATACCAAAGATAAAAATTTCAAAAGATTTAAGAATGAACAATTGAGACGTAGCTGAAGAGAGGTTAAAAAGTTTGTCCATGTGAGATACTGCAAGAAGAGAGTTTGTACAGTACTAGGGAATGGATCTGACGGTGGTTGAAATACAGGGCAACAAAAATGAAGGTTTGTAGAAGATCGATGAAAGAAGTAAAGGAGGATGTGTAGAAAAGTGGAGAGAAATGCCAGAAAGTGGAGAAAGAGGAATACTAATTAAAATATTCATTCATAAGACTGTGGAGGGATAGAATATGGAGAGACCAAATGTTTAGTTGACCCGAGAATTGCCGGAATGTAAGAGGATATGTATGTTTATACCAAAATATGTAACCTCTTCTAGAGGTTAAACAATTTTATCAATAACACATAAATCCGCACTCCCTCTATTCTATACGATAGTTTTTCTCATAAGCCCCACAATTTACTAAGGAAAGTACCATAATTTAGAACAATCGACGTAATTCCCCATACACAACACACACGGTTTCGTGTCCAGCGCGTCAGGGGGCGCCATATTTATAAGGACGGCAAATGGGAAAACAATAAAGCATAGGGCAAAAGTAATTACATCTTAGCGGGGGCCGACTCGGGCGATTACAATTTGGACCCCCGTGGGGCCCACAAACTCAAAATATCGGGGCGAAGACGCGGGCACAAGTTCCTATAGAGGAATCGACTCCAAGATCTTCCCGGGTGGTAAAGAACCTTATGGCACTAGGGTAGTAAATATGGTTAATCGTAGAAATTCTGCTGGTTTCCCATGTTATCGACCGGTTTCCAAGACGTATGATGTTTAAGAGGACACATGGTGAAATATTTGTTTGTTTCGTGCACGATTTAATGCCTTGTATCTGTTTTCAGGTTTTATAAGCAATATTTTCCGTTCTTGGATTTATTTTACAGTGATACGACAATTCGTTGATTTATATTCTATATAACACGCAATAAAATAGTGCTTTATGCGTGAAATTTTTAATTTAGTGGTGTTTGTAGCATCTGTTAACTGCTCTGATGGTCATCAGGAACGTGACATCAGCATACGAAGTTTTCAATGTGACAAGGTTTAACCTTGAAGACCATAGGGTCTGAAAAGAGTGGATGCAAATTCCCGTTATTTTAACAATACAAAAGCTTATTTGAGCTTCTGAGTAAGATCAGGTAATTCATTTTGGAAACAAAACCAACCTGACACGCTTAAAAATATACCCCTTTGCAAATCTGCTTTTGAATTCGATGAATTTACAAAATATCGAATCGAGACATTTTCCAGAAATGTAGTAAGTGTGTCTGTGTCTGTATATTTCGTAACATGCGGTAGAGATAGGAAGATGTGGTTTTATAGTATCGTGTACCTTTGAATGATTAAAACTAATTATATTGTATTGGGTATCCACAAAATCGCTTCCCTATGTTTTTCTGACGTTATTAGCCAGTGCGGAGGCAATTTCGCAAGCGGCCAAGTAAGTGGGGGGTCGTAGAAATTCTCGTTGACAGCTTTTCAACCATAAAACCGCAAAAATACTCGAAGACAGCTCAATTAAGTCACATCGCTGGACTTCAACTCCAGTGGAGAAAAGCGATAAATTACACCCGCCAAAGATAACTAAACTCCCGCCAAATATCCCGCCGAGACAAATTTGCATGTAAAACACTGCAATGTCCATTAAACTTTCCGCGTTTTTTGAAACCAGAGACAGCTTGGTGTAAATCATATAGCAATGCATAAATACATCGTTGCAGCAAACGCGAGCAGAACTGGGATTTCTTAATCATTCTACTCCTTGAGACTTGACGGTAATAACTTACAGTTATAGCTTGAATATTGTTTATTGGTGCATGTGTCTCTCATGCGGGTTGAGAGTTAGAGATATTTTAGAAATTAAAATTAAACATGTTCTGTTGGATTGCTTCCAATTCGGGGAGGTAGTTTCCTCTATTTGATATATTACATTATCAAGTACTACTACGCACAAAATAATCATTTATTCATATTATTTGTCTCCTGGGTCCACTAAATAAACGGTATCAGCAATCTGACACATACTTCATCCCATTAGCTTGTCAAAACCCCTTTTAATGGGTTAGCGGTGGGAGTAAAATGATATTTTGTGGGTAAAATCACACAAACTGCAATATTTTTAAAACAGTAATCCATACCTACAGATTTAGGGGCTGTATACCTACTACTGTATTGTGTTTAGAGTTAAATGACCATAACCACAGGTGTAGACATCACTTTGAAAACTCCTTTTTCGATTCAGGGGACCCAAAACGAATATTTTACTCAAATTTCAAACTTGAAAATTGCTACGAAAACAATACTACTTTGTATTGGGAAGAAACTAAAACACCCAATATAGCACTTACAATAATATATTAGGAATAAATACTGGATAGTGTTCACGTCATGTAGAGACACTGTAATTAATATTAATCGAAAAAATAAACCGTAGTACCCTTTTTAAAATTATTTTTAATGACTTAAGAATAAATAATACGTATATTGGAATATATATGTTGTGTCAGAGTACTCACCCAGCCAAAGGTAACATTTTGAGGGCCAGAGCTCGACTGAGGCAGAACCCAGCACCTCCTGTTGCGAACCAGAACGAGATGTTTTGCTGAAAACACAAATAACTGGTTAATGCTGGAAAATTGTATAAAAATCATTTCACAGAAGTAATTTCAATTAATTCCACAACAGATGGAAAATTAGGTGGACATGAAAGGTAATTTTGCAAAGAGGTTGGACTGATGGTTAGAGAGCAAGCCTTCTGTCAATAAGGTGCGGGTTCGAATCTAGCTGCAACTATGTGATTAAGTAAAATGGTCACCCAAACCTGTACGTCAAGATATCCAGAAAACTAAGAAACTCCTTTTAGGCGAGGATAACCTTATTCGTATTGGAGAATCCCCATAAAAAAGCAAAATTTTTTAGCTTTGCGAAATTTTAACGAGTAAGAAAGCCTTGTAGCCACATTTCATAGCACGCGCGATTATATAAAACAAAGTGAGGACTAGAAACAGCGGCGGGCTCGGCGGCGACAAAACATGCTTCATTAAAATTCCGGGCATCGTGAAGTGACGGCTACCTTATCACGACTGGACACACACACCAACAAACAAATATGTGAGGCTCACAAACACATGGGAGGAAAATGTTATTAAATATAGCATAGCTAAAATATACACTTCGTATTTCATTGGTGCAAGAAGTGGTTCTTTTGCGAACGATGAGTTCAAGCATGGATAAAAGGAGTAGACATAGATAAAAGGAGTAGACAGTCTACTCCTTTTATCTATGGTTCAAGTTAGAAAACCAACGAGAATCGGAAATATGCTTAAATACGAGTAATTATGTCAGGGAGGAACATGAATCGTATTTTAACAAAAATTTGAGCGATGATTTTAGAATGGAAATGCCTTTGAAGCTTCGTTATTGATTATTGACGGTCAAAAAACGTTATCTGTCCGAACCTCTTTTTTTCAATAATTACACTTATTTAACTTAACATTGTGAAAATGTTTTTAATCACACGTTATACAAATTTGGAGAAAACACATCGCTTAGTTAAGTGTAAGTCTATGGGCAAACAATTATAAAAAGAAACTGTTCTAACCTAACCTAACCTAACCAAACTTACTGATTATGAAAAAATCAAATCTATTTTTAATCAATATTTTCAATCGATAAAACCTTTTCTAAATGTTGTATTTTTCATTATGTATTACATACAAAAGGTTTCAATAAGTTATAATAGTGTAATTGGAAAAAATAGAGTTGCGGGTAGATAAAGAATTTTTAACATTATTGACTAAGACCATTGCTCTGACCATAACTCTATTGTCATTGTTGTTGTTGTTGTTGTTGTTGTTGTTGTTGTTGTTGTTGTTGTTGTTGTTGTTGTTGTTGGTTGTTGCCATTGTCTTATAACTCTGATATATTCAATGCTAGGACCAGCGATTGTTTTTAAACAATACCACTTATAAACATAATGATTATAGACAGCTGTTGCATGCTAACACAATTAAATCAACGTAAATCCGATCAAAAACAATTTGTAATATTTTGACACACTTGAATCAAGAAACATTAAGCTGCACGAGTTCTCCGAACAAATACACAGTTGCCTCTGCAGTTATCGTGATCAACAGAGGTCAGGTAAGTCACGGTAAATAACCGGTAGATGGCGCGATAGTTGCCTATTTGTACCGTATTGCACCAGATACCGCCACCGCCACCGCGCCGGCGCAGTGATACATGGGGCGGGGTCAGAGCACAGCGCATGCCCGGTGCTATCGCGACCGATATGTCGTTGCGATTATATTGTTATTGTTGCCCTCGACTGATGAGAGCCGGTGGGAACACGATACCAGGTTAACGAGAAGAGATACATATTTATGGTGATAAATTGTGTACTGCAACTATATATTCTACAGATGTGCGTTTGGTTGTACATGCTGAGAAATATAAGTCTGAGGATCGGATACACCTACTGTAGAAGAGGTTAATATTTTTAAGTCTATGTAAAAAATATGCAAGAAATCGTTTGTAAAGTCCAAGATTGTATTCATACTTTGTCAAATTTATCTCATGGTGTAATCACATTTGGTTGGACGTTAGAGACCAAACTGTCTTTTCATACATAGTTATCTAGCATAGAGAAGAAGACTTGAAGAAAATTTCAAACACGCTTGAGTCAAATTTATTTTAATTCACAATTATTGGCGTTGATAATTATTGGCACCTAAATTAATTACCGACCACTTCTACGCCAGGATAGGACTATTTCATGCAATTTTATTACCCCCAAGGGGTAGTAGGCGGCAGATGAGTACCTTCGTACTTTGGGCAACCTTTTGATTTTTAATGGACACCGTAATAAGTGTGTTGTATCATTCACTATCGACTCATTAACAGCAAATGGTTGCTCTAGCCTATCGTCTGAATATATTTTAATATTTCAACCCATTCGTGGCATTTTCCATGTATTTCTCTTCGACTTAGATAAACATAATGTATAAACGTCTAATACCACGTTTTCCATGGGGGGAAATAATAGCCACACTACAACACAAGTCTCCGACCTATCGCTTGTTCATTGACACCAGCTCGATCGATACTGAGAATCGATTACGAAGTCGATCGATCAGTGATCACAGAGTGGACGACTGATTATGGACGACTGACGACCCGCCTTGAGTCGCCGCCGCCGGTGACGTTGGTTGCATCTAAATAGCTGATGCATCAAGCGCAATGGCAGACACCATTCAATCCTGTACATCAAGTGCAACATCCAGTTGCGGGGACTTTGGTTTCGCGCAAATCTCTTTTATAATATTGAATTAAAAATGAATATGTATTTAATTCCAACTATACTGTTTTCCAAGTTAACTGTATGCACCATAAAAGATGAATATAGTAAATTAATTATAAGTTAAAACTATACAAAATTTACAACTATGAACCTTACAAAGAAACAGTAAGCAATATGACCGTTTTAGCGCTTTACTTACACCTTTGAACATGATAAGGTATATTTTTTTGTTATAAGATACATGTAGTATTAGGTCAAAATCGATCTGAAGTATGCAAAATACAATATAGAGAACTGGAAGGTACATTTTACGAAAAAAACTAATACAATGAAATTATTTGTCGCGTAATATGCTACAATTTTGTAAACGTCTGTCGGTTTTTTTATTAGGATAACTCGAATTCTTGTCACTGCGCTAATACATAAAGCACTTTGTCACCAAGTTTAGAGCGTGAATAGATAAAATAGATTGTAAATCCAATTGTATAGGATTGTACCGCTGAACCAAAATATCAAAAACACTCCATAAAAAAATACTACACCACTTAAATTGTGCAAAATACACTTTCAAAATTCAGAAGTGGCCAAATTCCAATCACCAGCGTAATTCACAGCCAATATTGAACGCCCAATTGACGCCTCAATCAATTACCGTGCTCCTGCCCCAGGATCGGGCCAGTTCGTGCGCCCTTTGACCTCCGAGGCGTGGTCACCGGTCTACCTGGTCACTACCAGTGGTCAATTACCACAAGCCATTACAGCTGCAATACAAGTCCAGCTATGACAGCAGGGAAAGTTGCGCTTGCTGTAAACCAGTGGAAATCGCTTCAATTAATCTGACTACGTGTTCGCTTGTATTAATGGTTATGTGGATTCCGAGTAGTAAGAGGTTGGTTTTATATCTTTAGGGTGAAATTATGGGGTTTAAGATGTATGGTGGTAAATGCATTAGCAGCTGTTGAGACGCAATCTATGCACGGTTTGCTATGGTCCGGTTGCTAATCGGATTATGTACCATGTAAAAGTTGTGTCCTATTTTGATAGAAAGTTTGGTAGACTAGTAGTTGATACTAAAGAAACAATCACTGTGCAATGTTGAGGCTTTATTTTATATTTAATATTCCAATTTGAAAATGTTTTATAAGTTTTCCAGCGATGACTGTTATTTTTTAGTTACCATAAGTTTGCCGAATCGACCCTAAAACAAATGTTTTTGAAGAACTCGGTCACCTTTTTCACAGGATTGAATTCTGTACAATCCATTCCCAACGAAATACGCAAGATAAAACTATGATTAATTTATACCAGAATTATTTAGAGATACCAAATAACAACACAAGGGGCGATAACACAACATTAATACAGTAAAGTGAACATGTCACATAAAACAATAAACTTTTTGTACTTCCTTGAGAGATTCTTATATTGTAAAAAATTGTTAAGGTGTTAAAAAAGAGTGAAGAATACAAGTTTCGCCCTACCCCATAAACCAATTTCCCACGTACAAAGACAAGCTTACTCAAAAAGAATTAAAACCAGAAATATTAATTGCACCATTACCGGGGAGGACTTATCGGATCGGACATTCCACGAGGGAGCGGCTTTTAGCTAATTAATATTTCCCAGAGTCCTCTCGTCCACGCGGCGTCAGTTTTGATAAATCCGGCTCGAAGGACCAGAAAACGGATAAAAACCGGACCAGATCGGACTGTCCGCTCATTACTGTCCGATCAACATGTAAGCTCATTAGCGGCATTCCGGGGCGTCCGCGATGGGCAAAAACTAAAAAATCACAGATGGTAAAATAAAATGACCGACAGAGCTGAGCCGACATATGCGACTTGACGATTGCTAGTTTAACGAAGAGTATTGACAATAAAAAATCATAGGAACTGGTTGTACTGAACGCGATTAGATTGGTTACATGCCAGCAAGCATATTTTGTTTTTGCTCATTAAGTTAGTTGGCAAACTAATCCGGAGTTAAGAAACGTGAATTAATTACAGACATGTTTGCATATGTCTACCCTTCACATAAAAATGCATACTAAACTGTATTATTAATTTACTAAACATGATGGATTTCATTTCTGAAGGATATCTTGACGTCATGCGGGCTTTAAAACTCGTTGAATTATCATATACTCCTTGACAAAAATATAAATAATTTAACTTAACCTAACCTAGCCTATGAAAGAAAGAATTAGGAGCAGAGCGAAAGAGATGATTTGGGGGAGGAAGAGTGCAGCCACCTAACTCGCGGAACAAGAGTGATGTCCGCGGAACAAAAGCGATTTTTCGGCCGGCCCCGAAATTTACCTGCTGACCCCCCGGAACAAAAGTGATGTGAAGAAATTGTCCTTTAACCGCAGAACAAAAGCGACACACGCAGCAGACTAGTCATCAACTACAATACCCAAATCAGAAAGTACCCCAAACCAAAAATAAAACTCTATTACACCATACAACTACCTCAAGGCAGTTGCCACACTGAAAGAAAACAACCACAACTACGATTATCCTACTTTTAACTTGTCCCACAAAACGAGTACCGGACAATAAATTGTACCGACAAATAACCATGATCTGTGACCGCTTGGGCTGTTATTAGCAATCGCCCAGAACGTACTGCTGATCCACTATATAATCCATGTAATAACACATACGCCATCTAGCGTAGGGAGGGGCAGTATGCTGACCAGATCCTATCTTTGGTCCTCCGCGCCGGATCGTACTGAATTATCTCTGAGTGTCCGGTTTGGACACAAATTGCAGTTTTGGGCTCCCGAACCCCCCTCCCCGCCTCTCGCTTATCTGGATCATGTATTATATAGATCGTCCAAGAGATTTTCAGTCGAATTCGTCGTGGATGTAATTTTGTGTGGTGTTTATTACTGGTTTTAAGAACCACCACGGAAATTGGTGTTAGAGGATATAAAAAAGGATGTTTATGTTAATGCTGGACATATGATTATGCAGTATGTATGTAGCATATTCATAAATTCGTCCTTAAACCTTACACATTGCTATTAGAACAGTTCAACAGCATGGCGAGAATTAGAAATGAATCTGTCGTCAGAATTTATTATTTGTGAGGGATCTAATTGATGAATTTTAACTGATCAGTTATTGGGAAAAGGCAATTAGGAAAATATATTTTTCTGTTTTGATTCGGTTGTGTGTTTTAGTAATTCCAAATTAGGCCTGCAACCGTAAATTGAAAATGGTTACGGAATTTAACAAGACTTTAAGTTAAATAAATAGTCTACAGACTGCGTCAGAATTTGATTTATTTCGCAAGGATGTAATTTTGTAATTATTACTGGCCATATTATTGGATCAAAGGAAACTAAGCAAATGTATACTCTTTGTTTTGATTCGGTTGTGTGTTTTGAATTCCAAATTAGGCCTGCATCCATAAAGTGGGAAGGGTAAACGGAATTTAACAATACTTCAAATTAAATAAAGAGTTTCTTTAGCGAATCTGTACGAGATTTAAATGTACCTAGTCCGATTCTAGTAAACAGTTAGATCTTTACACATTTACTTTTCCAGACTCCGACTTAATAACATGTGCCTCATTAGTGCCTTAGAAACTTCAAGGAAAAAATGTCAAACTTGTGTTCGAGACTTGAATGAACACCTTAAACAGTTCAAGAGGTAAAATATACAAACCAATTCCCAACCCTGAGAGTTTCAAGTGTCAACAAACATACCTTGATAGGAGCTTTGGACTCTCTGTTGAGAATTTCCAGAGGAGCTCTAATGCTGGGTTTGCCCAAGTACCATTCCTCCTGGTGACTGAAGTCTCCCAGCAACTTGACGAGGCGAGGTACATTCACGTAGTTGTCGTCGTCAAAATGGCAAAACCACCTGGAACAGAGAAGATTGTGGTTAGAAAGTGAATCCATGATCAATGTATCGATTCTCAAGATACAGTTCGTAGTTCTTGGTCCAGTCCAATGGGTGAAATCTTTATTGATCAACTACTGCAAAACTTTTATATTTTTGATAATCTAGGATTTAAAATGTGCATGGAACATTGAACACACAAAAAACATCAACGCACAATAGTCACGCATAAAAGAAGGTACAAGGTTCTCAACGAACAAAACCGTTCCGAAGCCCAATAAAAGACCATTTAGTGATGTGGGCTCAACAAAAGAGATAAACTAAATTGAGGGCCAGCCATTGTGAGTGTGGCCGATACAAGTTGAGTGGCCAATCAAAAGGCAATTGTCGGCCAATTAAAAGGTTAAGTTGGCTCTAATCAAGCAGTTCCCTCATGAGGGCAATAGGGCATCGCGTGTGATCAACGAAACGATCGAAGACTGTGAGACTGAAACGTCAAAGCTGTTACAGTTTTGTCAATGAGTACTGAACATTTTTAACATGCATAGAGTGAATAGTTTTAAAGGCAAAAGAGCACTGTGAGAAGAGTCCTTTTCAAGAATCTTGGTCCAACCATAAGTGTTTTTGCTTTGTGATACGTAAGGTAAAAAGCAAATTCCAAGTAAATCTTAAACTTATGACCATGTCCATAAAAAGCAGAAACACGACAAAACGAGCTTACAAGCTATGAAAACAAATCATACCCTTTCAGAAGGCACAATTCAACACTGACACCTCTGTCAAATTACACTCTGCAATTAAACACACATCCAGAATGTGTGTTGATAAATCAAAATACGTACAAATAACCGGGCGGGAAATAGATTTCAGCCGGCAACAGAGATGAATGTACTTCGGATGGGCTCTAATGAATCAAGATTCCATCGGATTTGGGCTGACGAGCGTGAAGAGAATGATAAATCAACGCGGCCTCTTGTAAAGCGGCTTCCAGCGCCACGGCCGAGAGGCTAATTCTGTTAGTATAGCTGAGTCGAGAGGCCACTGGATACTAGGACACTTGATATTTTAAGCTACTGGATATTCTAGGATATTTGAAAATTTAAGCCACTGCACACTCTCTAGGAAGACACTAGATAAACTTAGCTACTGGATACTCCAAGATCACTTGATACTCTAGTACAATGGATACTTTAAGACAGGATACTCTAGCTAGGTTATTTGATACTCCTCTAGGATAATGGCTACTTATGGCTTCTGCATAATCTAGGCCACTGGACAATCTTCAACTGGATCTTCACCAAGACCCTTTAGTCTTTGCCATTGGATACTCTGACTCTAGATACTGAATACTTTAGGAGACTGGATGTTCGTTTAGTGTTAACCGACTACTTTGGACAAGCTACTGTATCCTAGATCGAGTTAGCTGGTTATCCAAGCCTTAAGTTTTGGATACAAAACTTACAGACTACTGAACACTTTACCTGGGTAAAAAGTACTCTAGGATACTAAAATTATTGAGATGATCCCATTTATGATTAACATACATTTATCATTGTTACAAAAAATATTACTGTAAATGGTTGTGATAAATTTTAGACGAAAGATATTTCACACGTGAAAACTTCTCTCCTTACAAAATCTTCCTTAGATGTCTAAGAAACAAATCTCATCAAGAGCATGGGTCTTAAAATATTCGTAAATTATATGGCCATTCTACAGCAGATTTTGTCTGTCATCCAGCAAGAACGTAGAGTTATGTGAGGTACCAACTTTACACGTTCAAAACGATTCACCTTTAGTGTCATTCAGTTTCTGGTGTCTAACGACATAATTAAAACAATTAAAAAGTGATGTATCTAAATTCAATATTAATCACGAAACCTCTTACAATCATAACCTGACACGCTTACGCCATTAAACCCTTTTCAGACTTTTTGACACTTAGATGATATCTACAGTTTTGAGGTCCCCTGGACCACCCTCCCAAGTGTCCTGGTCTATTTCACACTCCGATCCACATAACTCTCATCTCACGAACCCTCGATCTAAATCTGAGATTAACACAGTTCCAATTATAAGCAGACAAGGAGAAGGCTGACCGGGAACTTCTCAGCAAGGGGTTTAGTCAGTCCGGCTAAGCCTATTAGTCTTGGAATCGTCTAACAGGCTAAAAGTCCAATCGGAGATTTCAGACCATGTTTTTCCCTATCGCTGTCAAATGAGAGTGTGCGTGTGTGTGTGTATCTGTCACTAAAAGAGCGGATAACCCCATGTGACCTTAGACTTGTATTTTGACTCTTCAAGGATTAATATTCTGACTTTATGGTAAGGAAAATGTGATCACAAACACCAATTACATTGAGTTCTGCAACAAACAGTCCATCAAAGAGGTAATAAGAACTGCAGATAATATTTTATATTTCAAACAGTTGAAATCCGGTTCCAAGCCTGTCTTACGTGATATTTAAAATAGGTTTCATGGACTTAACTCTATGTGGTTTTAATAGTGTATGGCTAATGATGCTAAATGTTGTACATGTCAAACATATTTATTTATTTATTTTTATTTTTTAAGGGAGAGGAGGGAAAATGCTTTTACGCACACAGGTAGCCAGCCTATAGTGTGAGACTCCTGATTTTATCACAGACTACTCACTAAAAAAAACCCTCTACGCTCTACTCTTTTGGACACAGACCTGGAATTTATTGTTTGTCACATTACTTCAAGTCAGGCCAACATGTGACCTAAGCCCTCAGGGCTCTCACCGTTTCTGGCATTTAGGTACTTTATGACCTACACCGCATCCCGGTCAAGGTCGAGCTTCTTGGCACGGAGAATACCCTGGATGTAATGTGACACACAGGTCCAATTGTCCTCACCCTCCATCATCATCGGTATGTCAAATATCATTAGCAACAAAGTAGAATTTAAAATATCCTTTAGGATTATAAATAAAGCTACATAATATTCTTTCGTCACAATTTTTGTTTTGCAAAATAGTATGATCATCATTAGTGTTAAATATTTGCTATTTTTCTTCAGAAAATGTACGACTCAACATCCAGAGAAGCTACAAATACTTGCAGTAAAAAATTTACTTAAAACGTGCCATTTAAAACACTCGCATCTGCTAAAAAATAGTCGTTAGCAAGAAATTATTACAATCCTTTTTTTATAAATCGGAATCCCATTGAAATGTCGATTACTGTAGTTACGGAAAAACATTTTCCCTTTCCCACTAAAATTGTATACCCAGCAACTGTTTTACATAAATAATCATACTCGTAAAGCAACTTTATTTAACATCACGTAACTGAAATATACAATGAGTAACGACATAACTATTTCATAAAATCTCCGTCCAATGGGAGACTTCAACGCCGGAAGACACAGAAGTCGCCGCCTCCACACGAGGCCTCTGAATAGAACTGCTTATCATTATTTTGGCCACAGTTTATATTGATTGTTCTTTGTCAGTTATTGATGTAATGTCCGTCGTCAGTTCGTGACTGGTCGACCAATCAGTCATCTATTGTCCGACTCTCGCTTTTCTGTGGCTGTGATGACTATTGTTAAACAGTTTAGTTTTGACAAGTCACCTCAATAGATGTTTGAAAAGAGAGAATTAAGTTTTGTTTTTGAATAATAGTTTCATTTAAGTCCTTAAGAAATTATAAATTGTAAATAACGTTTAATCTTGGGAAGTGGGCTACTCTAAATTTGTAAGAGGTTGGCTATATCTTTGCTATATATTTGCCCGTCCACTTGGACTACGGAACTGTGCGTGGAACGTATCCAGCAAAGAGATGAGCCGAAACAGTACAAGGTTGAAGTGTACTTATAAAAAGTTGTGGCACGAATCCAAGACATTTTGCCTTGGGCCCGAAGTCCGTGGCGCTACCGACTGAGCCACCCACCGACTCCCCACAACTGTTGCTCTCTACTTTATAAGAATTAGTATTTTAGCGAATTTCCCTATAGGGAAGTAGCTATTACCGTAGGTGGCACGGTAAGACCTAGACCCCGGACCGATTTACTTTTTCATTTTGATGTCCCCAGAGGCCAAAAACACCATTCGTTCAAATTTTTATATATGTATATATATATACGTCCGTGAACGCGATAACTTGAGTAATTTTTGTCCGATTTTGATGAAATTTGGTTTAAAGGTGTAAAGCGGGATAAACTTGAATGAGTTCGCGAACCAGCACGATCGGACCATGAGAACGGGGCTTTACGGGGGGTTTTATGGGGTAAAAAAAGGTTTTTCTCACTTTTGACCCTCAAAACACAAAATTTTCCGATTTCTCTTTAGACCTTTTTAAAGAGCTTAAAAAAACAAATAATTTAGTATATAAAAGTATTTTTGTTCGATTGTTGGTAACGGAGAAAATTCAAGAAATTGTAAATTTAAAATTCCCATGTTATTCTTATGGAGAATATTGTCAAATGTTGTAGTTTGCTTGTTTTTGGATATATTTTGATCAAACTTGGCAAATTTATTTATTTTGTACTAAGCTATCAATATTTTACTCAAAAACACACTTTATTAGTTTCCTTGTAGCAGCAAACCTAGGTACTCGTTAAACCTAATGTTATTAAAATATATTTAACTGAAAATCAATTCAGACAAATGGAAATTCGCTTAGTCGGCAGGTTTGCTGCGGCGGGGGTATTTCAAGTTTTCAGAGGATTCTTTCTCTGTAGTTTGGAAAAATTTCTCTTAATCGAAACATTTTTCAGGATTTGTTAGCAACCTAAAGGTCTAACTTCACAACCATGATATAAAATATCATATAGATTTATTTTAAACAAGTAAAATATCAATACTAATTGTCAAAAAAAAAAAAATGAACGAGGTAAAATAATGAATGATTTATTTTCAGTTAACGAGTAGATTTTAATTTTTCAAAATACATCCAACGACCTTGCCCTTCACCACTGATACAAAACCGTAACTATAAAACGTTACCTCCCAGTTTAACACTTTAATTAAGACCGGACACCAATTAGAAAAACT